AGTTTAAAACGTCCATAAAAATCTCATTTCCTCTCCGTAACGGAATCCGAGGTCGGAGGCCAGGGTCCGAGAGATGGCCTTCCACCTCTATAGGCAGGTTTCGAAGCTGTGCAGTGGGCTGGGGGGGCCGGGGGACGTGGGTGGGACGAGTCAGGTACACTCGGCTTTCGAAAGTAAGTCTGTGTTTTCGTTTATATTATATTTTTTAGTCTATACTGGCACATCAGCACACACTGAGACATATTTACAGCCATGAGGGTAAAACAGACAAAGTGTTGTGGCTCCCAAAGTGGTTTAATTTTTGTTGAAAGGACAAAATGACTCTTCTTAACATTTTGGTTGCGACCCCTGAGTTAAGCCTACTAGTAAGGAGTGGTCAGCGCGTGACCGTTTCCTCGAACTGTCCACGGCTCAGTCATTACTGCACAGCCGCCACCAGCCCAGTTAACGGCCACGTTCTGTGGTTCAGATTTTGCGGATTGACTCCTGTATCGAAATTGTAGCAAAAATTTTCGCTATAGCTACACAAAATTTGTAGGCGCTACAACTGTTAGCTACATTTCATAAAACAGTAGCGGCTACAGCTACTAGCTACAAAAAGTAGCGCGCTACATAGCCCTGTATATTTGCAGCTTTTCAATTGTAAGTTTCTTTCTGGCTCATGGTTAAATGCAGTGTCTTGTTCACACTGTCAGTTGAGCTTGTTTGGTGTGTCAGGTGGAGATTCATCCACATTCTGACAGTCACGCTTTGAAAAGTAGCTAAAAAGTAGCCACTACTTTTTCTGGAAAAGTAGATAAATTGTAGCTGCTACAAATTTCGGGAAAGTAGCTACAAAGTAGCTAACTACTAATTAAAATAAAGATAAAAGAGTGCACAAATACGGCAAGTAGGTGGGTTTCAAATGGAGTCATGAGTGCATTTAATCATATTTAATCACAGTTTGTCCTACACTCTTGAAGAAGACGGTTCTTCGTGGGTTCTTTAGTAAAGACGATGGTTCTGTTTAGAACCTTTCACGCTTAAAAGGTTTGTTGAATGGTGAAATTATTCCTTTTTTGGTGAGAACCATTTTCAAAAAGGATCTACATAGAACCATATACAGCGTGTTCTCCATCAATCTGAACAGCAATTTCACCATGCAGGGAACCCTTTACGCATGAAATGGTTCTATATACAGCTCGTGGTTCTAAGCAGAACCCTTGAAGAACCTTCTATTTTTAAGAGTGTACCTTAAATGCAAGATATACGTGTCTTCTATGTGTCTGAAAAGCAGGTAAATCTCAGGACAGAAGCTGCAGCTCAGATAAACAGATGAACTCAAACTCATGAATAATAATGCTGATAATAATAATAATTAATTAAGCAATTAACTGATAGAAATTGACTAATTAATTAATTAATTAATTAACTAATTAATTAAGAAAATAATGCTATGTTTTTTTTCACGTCTAGTTTTATTAGTTATTGATTTGTGAAAACGCGCTGAAGGCTTTACGGTCAATACCAGCTAAAAATCCCTCCTTACCTGCTCGGACATCTGCGCGCTGCTGTGATCGATCAGATCTGTTTCAGTTTCTTTTCTCAGAAATTTAAAATCATTTCTGTTCAAAACTTTTTCAGGAGCGGCCTACCCGGAAACCACGGACATTCTGATAGACGCGCCATCCGAAGTGTCAAAATAAAAGCCCTTCTCTGGACGTGAAAAGCAGTTATCATTCAACATCTGTGAAGAATTAAATATTATATTATGAGTATGCGCATGCAATTTGAGTATATATAATTAAAATGCACCCCAAACATTCATTCATTCATTCATTCATTTTCTCTTTTTTTCCTTTTTTAATTTCTTTAGTATATGTGTATGTGTTTATGTATGCACATGTTCAAAGCATGTCGATATGTTATATATTTTGATTGTTATTATCAGGACTCTTTTTTATTTGAAATAAATGGAAGGTTTTATCTGAACATAATTTGAGTAGCAGTTATTTTTATAGTATTATTTTGTTAATAACCCACAATCCTGTCATCTTCTTCTCCTTGTATCTGTTTCTCTCTTATTTTTTCAGTTTCTGAGACAAAGGATTTCAGGAAAATTAGTAAAGATTTCTTGAATCTGTTACGGAATATAAACACACATTTTCATGTAACAGCAAAAGAATAAAATGCTGAAAAAAGACAGCAGAAAAAGGACCGTACAACAAAAACTGAGGAACTCAGAACTTTTAATGATTGGAAAAAGAAATTGTGGACACAGCAGAGCTGCTGGAGTTTTAAACACCTCAGTGTCGCTGCTGGACTGAGAATAGTCCACCAACCAAAAATATCCAGCTGACAGTGTCCTGTGGGCAGCGTCCTGTGGGCAGCTGCAAGGTGGTCTGACAAGGTAGGAGTGTCTAATAGAGTGGACAGTGAGTGGACACAGTGTTTAAAAACTCCAGCAGCACTGCTGTGTCTGATCCACCCAGCACAACACACCACACCACCACCACCCAAATAGTATCTGCTCTGTGAGGGTCCTTTGGGGGTTCTGACCACTGAAGAACAGGGTAACAAAGTATCAGAGAAACAAATGAACTACAGTCTGTAACTGTAGAACTACAGAGTGAAACTATGTGGTCAGTGGAGCTGATGAGATGGACAGTGAGTGTAGAAAAAAGGAGGTGATTTTAATGAGGCGACCAGTCGGCGTATTTCTTCTATTATTTTTTATGAACCCCATTAAATGTTACTAGCTGAAGTTTTTAGTTAAAGGCCTGGTTAATGTGTTCAGACCAGTGTGAAGCTATTATAAGATTTAGAAAATATTGTACTTTGTCCCCCAACGATGGACCCGGTACTGTGAACTATTTTTAAAGGAAAAGGTAAGAAATTAAGAAAAAAAGTTTATGTGCAATTATATGACTTTATACTGTAACACTGCAATTTCTATCTATCTATCTATCTATCTATCTGTCTATCTATCTATAATGTTCTATCTATCTATCTATCTATCTATCTATCTATAATGTTCTATCTATCTATCTATCTATCTATCGATCTATCTATAATGTTCTATCTATCTATCTATCTATCTATAATATTCTATCTATCAAGTTCTATCTATCTATCTATCTATCTATCTATCGATCTATCTATCTATCTATAATGTTCTATCTATCTATCTATCTATCTATCTATAATATTCTATCTATCTATCTATCAAGTTCTATCTATCTATCTATCTATAATGTTCTATCTATCTATCTTTCAAGTTCTATCTATCTATCTATCTATCTATCTATCAAGTTCTATCTATCTATCTATCTATCTATAATGTTCTATCTATCTATCTATCAAGTTCTATCTATCTATCTATAATGTTCTATCTATCTATCTATCAAGTTCTATCTATCTATCTATCTATCTATAATGTTCTATCTATCTATCTTTCAAGTTCTATCTATCTATCTATCTATCTATCTATCTATCATGTTCTATCTATCTATAAAGTTCTGTCTATCTATCTATCTATCTATCTATAAAGTTCTATCTATCTATCTGTCTGTCTGCCTGCCTGTCTTTCTTTCTTTCTTTCTTTCTTTCTATCACCTCATATAACCTATAATTCAACAAGATTAGAAATATAATGAAAGTGTAGAATGTCCTGTTACTGTAGCGAATGACCACAGTACTGTAATCTGGACTTCTACACTACAGCACTACTGTAATCTGGACTTCTACACTACAGCACTACTGTAATCTGGATTTCTACACTACAGCACTACTGTAATCTGGACTTCTACACTACAGCACTACTGTAATCTGGATTTCTACACTACAGCACTACTGTAATCTGGACTTCTACACTACAGCACTATTGTAATCTGGACTTCTACATTACAGCACTACTGTAATCTGGACTTCTACACTACAGCACTGCTGTAATCTAAAACATTTTTGGTGATGAGCTAATTAGAAGGATAAAAAATGTAATATGTGAAGTTACGTCTCACAAGGCAGAGCGATTTACGTCCTGTTGGGTAACATGTCCTGAATAATCCCACTTCCACTGCGATTCAATCTGTTGTTAACTGGAAATTTGCTTTAGCTGTTTGTTTTGATCCATTTTATTTTTATTCTTAACGCTGAACTGAACATCTATGACGTTTTGGTCGACTATCTGAGGTCATTTGTGGAAAATTACACAGATACTTTGTCCCCTATAAATCAGCTTAGTTTCCATATAGCACAAAACACAACACATTCAATCTGAAGAACCATTTCACCATGCAGATGGTTCTTGGAGTGTTCTAGAACCATTGTCTTTGCTAAAGAACCCTTGAGGAACCATCTTGTTAAGAGTGTAGGGCTTATAACAGACGTTTGTCTACCAGACAGAAAGTGAAAATAACTGACTCTCAGTCGCGCTGCTGAACCACGCCCTTTTTTCCCAATAACTCCAGGTGGCGTCTACTCCCCATCCCTCTTTCTCTCTTCCTCTCTCCTCTTCTGCCCCTCTCTCTCACTCTGCCCTCCCTCTCTCCTTCTCTCTCTCTCTCTCTCTCTCTTCCCCTCCCTCTCTCCTTCTCTCTCTCTTCCCCTCCCTCTCTCTCTCTCCCTCTCTCCTCTCTCTCTCTCCTCCCCCCCCTCTCTCTCTCTCCCCCTCTCTCTCTCTCTCCTCCCTCTCTCTCTCTCCCTCTCTCCCTTTCCCCTCTCTCTCTCTCTCTCTCCCCTCCCTCTCTCTCTCTCCCCCTCTCTCTCACTCCTCTCCCCTCTCTCTCTCTCTTTCCCTCTCCTCTCTCTCTCTCCCCCCTCTCTCTCTCTCTCTCTCTCTCTCTCTCTCTCTCTCTCTCTCTCTCTCTCTCTCTCTCTCTCTCTCTCTCTCCTCTCTCTCTCTCTCTCTCTCTCTCTCTCTCTCTCTCTCTTCCCCTCCCTCTCTCTCTTTCTCTCTCTATCTCTCCCCCCAATCCGATAAGTAGTAAGAGATTCTGCCTTCTCAGGCCACAATCACTCTCTTTAATTCTCTTTCTTAGAGGCGACAGTGGCTTGACACTGAAGAGTTGACACTGAAGAGTCGACACTGAAGAGTTGACACTGAAGAGTTGACACTGAAGAGTTGACTCAGCCAGACTTTGAACAGGAATTATTTTACCTTAAAATACAGATTATACCTGTAGAAAAGGACACACCCACTGTAACTGTCACAGACGGTACACCCACTAAGCAGAATGGTCACCGAAGACAAGCCCACTCAACCAAGGACACGCCCACTTCTGGCTAATGTGTATTTAAGAAGCTGATGGAGGGTCATAGCTGGAGCTGATCTGGCTATTTGACCGCAGGTATGTCCTCTCTGTGAGCATTTCAGGCTTTTCATTAACATAATAATAAAGACAAGCACTACAGATAATAGAGTTAACCTTATAACTTAACCTTGTTTACCTTTAGCTCTATAACTCTACCTTAAAGACATGATTCTTTACACTGTCTTCTCAGAGATATGAATTACATTTTTATGTGTGTAGCTTATTTAATCTATACAAGATTAGACATAGGAGAGAATGTAGATCAGCCTATTATGTAGTGTATAAGCAAGCTTACAGTTTTGACAGACTCCTTTCAGCACCTGTACTACCTGTTTTTCAGTCGACTGTACCGGAATGTGTTCCACTCGGGCCGCCGTTCTGCTCCTGCTCTTTGGTAACAGATTCTCTTTTACAGATTATTTGCATATATACACTAACTAATCCCTAAAGATCTGACTGTCTGTTTAATGTGATGAGGCTTTTTACATATACATACATATACATACATCTAAACCGCTTATCCTTCTGGGTCGCGGTGGGGTGCTGGAGCCTATCCCAGCTGTCATTGGGCGGAAGGCAGGATACACCCTGGACAGGTCGCCAGTCCATCGCAGGGCAGAGGCTCTTTACAGTAATGTGAAAATGAGGCCATTGTCTTAACCATGAAATGAAAGAGAAACAGAACAAAGACAGTGAACTGAGCTGTTTAAACAGAGGCCCTTCAGGCATTCCAGGCTGATGGGATTTTTCTGTCTGATGGTGAAAAGGCAGAGTGTAGATGGAGCCACTGCAGACTAATTGTTGTCTAACTGCTCAGACACTTCAGGAGGTGGTTGAATATTCCATGGGTCTCAAATGCATCTCCAGGGACAGCTTACAGTTGTATACAAAAGACTGAGCAATGCTTGATTTTTTGAAAGTGAAAGGATGTAAACACAACATTTGCAGTCAGTTATTTTTAAAAATAGATTTTTTCTGCAAACTTTAATGCACAGTTACTTCATATATAATTAACTTGATAATAAAAAAGTTTAAAAACATAGAAAAGATAGGTAAAAACTTTAACCCCCTTATATGGCCAGGGCCCACCGACAGGCCCAAGGTTTTCCAAAACCTAAGAATAACTCAGCCACTTTGCATTGAAGTCCCTGTAGCTAATGAAGAATAAGCCTTAGTATTTAATAAATCTGAGATTTTAAGGGGTTAAACCATTTGGCCTTCAAAATAATCAAATAAATGAAAGTAGCACCCAGTTTCAATCCACCATTCAATAATTGTCTGGCAGCAGGTGTTCAATGTTAAACGGCACTGCTAAATACCCAGATAGCAGCATATATCGGTATGCTGGCTTGATAAACTGACTATTTGACACTGCTGGTCCACCCTCGGACCACCCAGATTACTGTCCTGCTTACAAGCTCTAACTAATTTTTAATCTCTTCAAACAGATTTTAAATGCACAGAGACTTTTATTTTAGAAAATAAATTTAGACAAATATTACAAACAAATGAGAGAGAAGAATAATGACTAGGTCTGCTATAAAATGATTCTATAGAAAATGTTGTTGACACTGAGCTGGATTAAAATTACTTACTAAAATAATTTACAAAGTATAACTAAAGAAAGGAAGGAAGAAAAATCAGTAAACTGGACTGTGAGATGATAGGTGGGCCTGTGTCTATGACTCTGCTTAAACACTGGTGGGCCACCCAGAAAATGCTGAGCAAAACGCCAGTGGACCACCAGCTTTGCCATCAGCGGCCAACAGTGGTCCACTGTCCTCTTGCTATCAGGGTAGGAGAAAGGAACTGGTTAACTTTATCTTAGCTAGCAGGCTACCAGCTCTGCTCACCACAGAACAGGTTGAGTTCTGACTAACAGAAGCTTTACTGACAAGTTTAGGTGATAATGACTCAATCTGAGGAAGAGGAGTCAAGCGGCTGGTGTTGAAGCTGAAATTAAATCTATCTTGTGGTGTTTGGAGCCTCCTAGCTAGGCTAATGCTAACTGGCTCCCCTGGCCTAGTTGGATTATTTGGTGTCCTGCAGATCCAAACACTGCAGTACAGTTTTGACTCTGTCTGCTGTTACAAGCGTAGACGATAAAAACTCACGTCCTCACATTTGAGAGAGTGAAGTTGAGTGGCAGAGTTGTAAGTAACGAATTACACTTACCCTCATTACTGTAACCGAGTACAGTTTTCCCTGTAACGGTACTTTTTGGAGTAGAATTAAATCACAGTACTTTTACTCTACTTGAGTTCATTTTTAATAAAATACTTTTACTTCGCTACTTTAATTTTCATAACGTTACAGAAATAAATTATGAGCGAATCAGCTCAGAAACCAATATGAGTGAAGCGCGGTTAAATTTAAAAGATTCACCAATCAAAAAACAGCAGCTCCGGCAGGAAAAACACTACAGAGATGTCCGGTTTAGTGAAGAAGGACGGACAAGAACTGAACCAGCACACACACCGAACAGACCGCGTCCAAACGGTCATCTGTGTTCATTTAACATGAACTAAAGTAAACGGCCTTATTATCAGCGGCCGAACACGAAAACTGCTGAGCTCCACTCCAGCCTGAGGCAGCGTTAGCCGAGCCAGCTGATCCGAGCTGAACAGGTACCGAGTTCACGGGTTTCTTCTTTCTTTTATAATGCTTCTGTTTATGAAACTTAAAATCTGCTGTGTATATTTTATTACAAGTGTCTGTCAGCTGCTTTAGTTAACAGGTGTCGCCACAGCCCACAGTTTACCCATTTGAAATACAGCCTGGTTTAGCTGCTGTTTTGGAGATATGTATTGTAAACAGATAAACAAGGAAGTCTTATATAATCATCTAACCATGAAACACATACAGTTTACTGTAAACCTCATTCCTTACACAGCTCACAGAAAGCTGTGTTAATATTCAGTAGCAGAGCGAACTGTGATCAGTCTCAGCTCTCAGAACTTCAGCTTTAGTGTTTTTCTCTACAGATTATTTCCAGTGAGGTAGCCGAGTAGCTCAGAAACATGTTCAGGTTGTGACAGCGGAAATACGAAAAAGTAACTAAGTAACTCGGTACTTAAGTAGCTTTTCTACTAACTACTCATTTACTCTTACTTGAGTAATTTTATTTACTAATTCCTTTTCTTGTATTTGAGTAAATTATCACTACAGTAACAGTACTCGTACTTGAGTAGGGATTTTCAGTACTCTTTACACCCCTGTCGAGTGAAAACTGGAATTGAACGTGTTTTATAGCATTTAGCCTGTTAGCTGTTGCTGAGCCAATCTTGTGTGTAGTTTTCTTTAGTATATCCTGGCTCTAATTTAACTGCCCAGCAGATGGAAAAAGAAACCATAACCAGTCTCATCAGTCCACACCAGGATAGGACGGCACAGCATGGCCCTGAGAAGTGGGAACCATTTGGCTGTACCATGGAAAAGAGGGCGTTATTCATGGGCAATTAAATGGACCGTTAATGCAGCTTGTAAACAGAGGAAGCTACGCAGCTGCTTTTATCTCTGCTGTGATGACGCAACTGATTAGGTGTTTTTTCTTGCTGTTGCATCGGGACACCTTAGCATTCACACTACACATTAGCGATCATATTCGTCCCTGAGACCCATTGGACTCCATTCACAACTCAATTTACTGCTGCCCCCTTATGATAAGTGCCTGGACACGTGTTAATCCCAGGCTGTGTTCACATTCTGGCCTTTTTATTGAACAGCAATCAGTCAAAGGAATTGATGATTTAATTAATATTGGAAAATGTGTAGCAATTGTCGTCCTTCATTTAGTTTTTCTCCTCTCACAATCTCATCTTTTACTCTATCCCTCTTTAGCAGTGATCTGTATTCCCGGTGAAGCTGTCTTCACACTGCTGTCAGTGGAATTAACTGGTAAGATGTATGTGCTCTTTATATGGGTTCTAGAGCCCCTGGAAGCAGCTTCCCATTTAGACAACATGACAGCACTTTATACAGAATGTAGGACTGATCCAGTTGGTTCTTTCATGTATTAAAGCGACAGTTTAGCAGAAAAAAAAACACAGTTTTATTATCTCAAATCAGATCATAATCATAATGTAGCTAACAAGTAATGGATGCACATGACCACCAATTATCAGTGTGATAACTGCATGTCTAAATTATCTAAACATCCTATTAAAAATGGACAAAAGTGCATCAAATAGCAGCTACATTACACAGAATTTATCTATACATTTATCTGTATACTTCATTCTGTTTTTATAGGTAACAGTGAGTCATACAGTGTCAGAATCCACAATATTAAGCCTATTAGAGAAACTGAACAACTATGCACGTTTGAAGCTATTTAGGTTTGGATGAAACTACTGCTTTAAAGACTCCCATGAAAGGGTGCTTGTGGTCATACAGTGCCCTGTTCATATTCTACTGAGGACTTACGGACTGCCTTTTGTATAACTAGCCTAATGCAGCCGGAGAGAACACAGAAAAGGCCTGAGGGGTTTGCTTCCATTTTTAGGAAATTACTCTTATAGGTTTTCTGTGCCGTCTGCTCAGCTTGTTTCTCTTTTGACAGAATGTCTTCAGAGTCAGTGCGTCGAAAAGACATATGCCTGCCAGAAACGCTATGGACTGGGCCTAACAGGCGAAGTGAAAGGTATACTACACCACAGCTGATTTAAAGGGCACATATTCTACAACCCCATTTCCAAAAAGTTGGGACGCTGTGCAGAATGTAAATAAAAATAGAATGCAAATGATCTGCAAATCATGTAAACCATATTTTCAAAGGAAAATACTACGAAGACAACAAATCAAATGTTGAAACTGAGAAACTTTATTGTTTTTTGAAAAATATTTGCCCATTTTGAATTTAATGCCAATGACACGTTCCAAAAAAGTTGGGACGGGGGCCTGTTTACCACTGTGTTTCAACACCTCTTCTTTTAAAAGCACTCTGTAAGCGTTTGGGAACTGAGGAGACACTGCTGTAGTTTAGAAAGTGAAATGTTTTCCTGTTCTTGTTTGATACAGGATTTCAGCTGCTCTTCAGTTCGGGGTCTAATTTGTCGTATTTTTCATTTCATAAGACTCCAAATGTTTTCAGTGGTGACAGGTCTGGACTGCAGGTAGGTCAGTTTAGCACCTAGACTCTTAATACAGAGCAATACTGCTGTAATACATGCAGAATGTGGTTTGACATTGTCCTGCTGAAATAATCAAGGCCTTCCCTGAAAAAGACGTCGTCTGGATGGCAGCATATGTTGCCAAAACATGTATATATCATTCAGCATTAATGGTGCCTTCACAGATGAGCACGTCATCCATGCCATGTGAACTAATGCCCCCCTATACCATCATGAATACTGGCTTTTGAACTGTGCACTGATAACAAGCTGAGTGGTCTTTAGCCTGGAGGACACAGCGTCCATGATTTGCAAGAAGAATTTTAAATGTTGATTCGTTGGACCACAGGACACTTTTCCACTTCCTCTCAGTCCATTTTAAAAGAGCTCAGGCCCAGAGAAGGTGGCAGCATTTCTGGATCCTTTTTATATTTGGTTTCTTCAACCACCAGGTGTTTTTTAGCATTACACCACAGTTCACCAGCCTATTGTTGCCCCCGTCCCAACTTTTTTGGAACATGTTGTTGGCATCAAATTCAAAATGGGCAAATATTTTTCAAAAAACAATACAATTTCTCAGTTTCAACATTTGATATGTTGTCTTTGTACTATTTTCAATTAAACGAAGGGTTTAAATGATTTGCACATCATTGCATGTTACATTTCTGTTATGATCTTTTTAAACCCAACGCATTAATAAAGATAGTAATAAGCTTAATTAAGGGGCCTTATTTTAGCCATGCCCCGTATTTTAGAGCATGAAGTGAGGCTGTATCTCTGTCTCTCATGGCCACATGGTGAGCAGTTTTGAAGTTAATGTGTCCCAACGTCTGACAATCGGTTTGGAACATTAAGAATCGTCACTACTGAAACACAGACTTTCTGCAGTAAAAGGTGCAGTAAGTGATTGTGATCCAATACACAGTAGTTACATTCAGGCACCTCAGCTTCTTGTTCAAATTGTCCCGATCCACTTTAAATGGTGCAGTAGTCACATTCTGGCACCTGAGGCTCCTGATTGCTGCACCATTTAAGGTGGAACAGGAAACCTTGACCAAGAAACTGAGGTGCCTGAATGTAACTGCTGATAACCAATCTCAACTGGTTAGCTTCGCAGCAGCACTTGTAGTAACATTTTGCTAACCCACAACCTAGCTAACATTAGCTACTTGCTGTGTTGTTGTTCGTTCTAACTTTACATCATGGTATTTGTCCATATGTTTTGCAGGATGGTTTATGACCACGAAGATGTAAAAAAACAAGTTTGTTAGCCCAGTGTCAATCGCAATGCGCCTCCATGAATTTGAGCGGCGGAGCTTCTGAAGGAGCACTGAAGGAAGTGTAGTATTTTACTGTTGTCGGAACAAAACCTTATATCTCCAAAATGGTAACTTTACAGGAGGAAAAATCATACTTTACTTTTGATGTAAGTCAATGGAACCAGACTTTTTTCCAAGTCATTCTGGCTGGTTCTTTTAGTCCATTCATTATGAAATTTACAGACAATGTAAAGGGCAACAAGCATTTTCAAATTATGTCAAAAACTGAAAAGTGACAAAAATGGAGATATGAGGTTTTCTTCCGACAACAGCCATTTGTTTTGCTGTTAAGCTAAAATTTCAAGTCGTTCTCCAGAATCACTTACTGCACCTATAAGTAAACTTTTGTGTTTTAATGAAACATTATGAAAAATATGATGATTTTATGTGTGGAAAGCTGGTTTTGTACCGGCCTGCGTTTTTGAGCTCAAAATGAGCTAAAATTGTCACTGAACAGTCACTACTGACACATTTGGTAAAGTTTGGGTAGTTATGATTGATTTGGTAGTGACAAAATGCAATGTTCAGTTCATACAAGATCATACAAAGCAAAAGCATTTTAGTTTAAGTTCCAAGTCAGATAAAAGTCTGAAATGTGTTTTCAATTCTGACTTTGAATCAGTTCAGTTGAATCATCTATATGGTTCCTGATAACATATGGCTAAAACACTTCATGTAACAGGTGGGGCTAATCTGCTGTAGGCTGAATAGGTGGTCATGTTTCCTATCTCCTGACCACCAGGGGCAGTTCTTAGCAAGTGGATGTTTCTCTGCATATGCAGCTCAGACCAAGAAATTTGACACATGATGTCACCGTCGGGGGTTCAGGGTTGGGGAGGGGGATCCCGTGACTCACTACAAACTTTGTTTTATCTCGTCTCACCATCAGACAGACCATGCAGACCAGCGACACGTTTTCATACTGTTAGACCTACAAATAGTTTATAATAATACGAATAAATCAGTGCTGTGTGAGTATACCAGGCAAAGCCTTGGCTCCTTCATCCTACAGAGCGGTTGCCTTCGACTTTTTGCCTGACCGCTAAGGATCAGAGCTCTTTCCACCCTTTGAGCATGCTCGGTGCTGGGGATAGGGCTAAGCCTCTGGCCTAACTGAGCCTTTGGTGAGTATATCAGGCTACAGAAGGCTTGGCTCCTTCGTCCTCCAAGAACGGTTGCCTTCTACTCTTTGCCCAACCACTAAGGATTCGAGATCTCCCTGCACTTTGAGAACGCTCGGTGTTGGGGATAGAGCTTCAATCTAATGGAAGCTTTGGCAATTATATCAGGCTACGGAACCCTCGGCTCCACATTGTCCATGCGAGACTGACTGCGACTCTTCGTCCAACCGCTAAGGACTGTCGCTCTCTCCTTACCTCAAGCACACTTGGTGTTGGGCTGAGAGCTTAGCCTCTGAGCTAATGGGGCCTTTCCTACGTGAGCTCACAGTGCAATGGAATGAGTTCGGCAGAACTGGTGCTGGCGAACGTGGTGGATGCCACTTCCCATGGTCTTGCTTCGATGCCAGCAGTGGAAGCTTGTGTCACTTCTAGGTTGTGTTGCCATATGATGCACTGTGCCTGGACCAACGTTGCCCCAGTGCAGGATGTAAATGCACAAAGTAGCTCTTTTCAAGGGCTCATAATACAGCTACCAGGATGCCAGAATTGTGGCAGACTGGTAGTGAATTTGGTACATTTGGTTCCAGGCCATGTCTCAGGTCCTGTTGTTAGGGAGCTTTGTAGGCCGTTCTTCTTTCCCTGAGTCGTCTAGGCTGAAAACCCCACAAATACTGGATTGCTTTCACCATACAGGAACTTCCACTTACCCTCGGTGAGCACTCATTACTGGGGTGGGCCAGATGTCAAGAACCAGTGCCTTGGTCAACCACACAGCCACCAAGGAGAAATTCTCTAAGCTTTTGGTTTTTACTGCTTAGTTTGCAGCTGCCTGTCATTCTGGCCTACATAAGCCCTGAATGAGCACGGCAGGGTGAATGCTCTTTTCTACGGTGGATGAGGAGGACCTTCTCTCTCAGCACAGGCGTTAGGTGTGGCATCTGTGACCCGGAGTTCTCCAACTATGGTTTTGGCACTCAGGGCCACCTTGGACCTGTCAGTGCACTCTTCTGGAGTCAGAAATGCAATTCCGACTGCCAGAGCTCCTTCAGCCTGTGCCTTACATGGGAGCAAGTGGCAGGTGTTCGTAGGCTGCTCTCAAAGAACCAAACGGACCCGATTTTGTGTTCTGTGGACTCACTGCTTTTGTTCCTACAGAAGATATTGGAAAAAAGGAGTTATCCTTCTAAGTCTATGTTGCTGCTGTCTCTGGGTGTTTGGCTCAGAGAGACAGCACATCCTTGGGCACCCACAAGCTGATTGAGGCCTTCTTGAGAAGGGCTCAGAGGCTCTGCCCTGCACCGCTTGACCCAACTGCCACCCTGTAAGCTCCCTATGGTACTGGACTACATATGTGGCACTCCGTTCAAACTTTTAGAGCAAGCTGCACTAAAGTGGCTGACCACAGCAAAGTGTGTATGCAAGGTACATGCATTATCTGTCAGGCCCCTGTGCCTTCAGTGAGCTCAGACCACACATATGTGACACTGGGGACGAACCTTGCTTGTCTGCTGGTTTTCAATGCAGGGTTTATTATTAACCAGGCCTGGTGGCATACACTGATAAGTCAGACCCCAGGAGATATGCTTTTTGGATGTTAAAAGAGGCACCCCACTCTCGAAGCAGCACCTTTTACACTGGCTAGTGGAGGTAATTGAGCTGACTTACGCAGCTGGCAACTGCACCTGCTACTGGGCACTCCATCAGGGGATTCATAACATCCTGGGCTGCACTGAGAGAGGTTCCTATCTGTAGGAGCCAAATTTGGATTTTATACATTTTCGTGTTTGTAAATATTTCAGTACCATTTTGGGAACACTAGGGGACGAGTTGCATTAGGTGACGGGTCAGGTGGTTATACTCACAAGACACTCACAGAATGGGGGAGCTCGGGTGGCAGGAACATACGGTTCTTACCGCAATTGCTGGAACAAACAAAGGGTTGACTGGATTATAATTCTGCTATTCAAGTTGTTATCTTCATCATCTCCAGTAAAAGAGTTTGTTTTCTGTAAATAAATGTCTCAATAAATGGGAACACCACCCAACAGCAAGTTTTGGTTGGGACTGTTGTTCTTTGGATGCACGTGAAGGAACGAGCAGGTGACTAACAAATAGGTTCTCCGATAGTCACTACACTATCTTTGAGATCTGTGCAGCAACACGTGGTCTACACCCTGCACTTTTTACTGATTCTACAATGTGAACATGGCAGCATCTTCAGACCTAACACCTGCTGTCCTGTCCTACATCACAGGCTGCATCTCATGCACTCTTCGCGACAGCTTGTGTACAAGTAAGGAGATACGAAACATAACACTAGTTATGACTGTAACTGGGGTTACGTGAGTAGTTGACGAGTGCAAGGTCTCCTGGTCGCCATTGGATTGCATGAGAAGATCCAGGTCCCTGAGGAAGTATGTAGAGGGTGAAAGGGTGATATACCAGTGATATCCATAATATCAGGTGATATTACATATATACATACCTAGATGCCGTTTTGGGTCCAGCCATGCACGTCAACGGTGCCGCCATTTTAGGGCGGTCAACATCGCTGCTGGACTGTATTCAGTACCTTTACAGTCAGTTTAAGAAAGATACTGTCCAAAATTACACTATTTCAAGAATATTGCTCTCAGAAAGTGGGATAGGATTATGTAGATATGGTCGTGTGGTTGTTGAAGCACAGAGAACCTGTTGATGTGATTTTTTTGCTCTGGTTTTATATTAAGCTTATTTCATTTAACAGTCCTTCCACTCCTTAATCTGTGTAGATATTTACAGTAGATTAGCACCTTATTATATCTGAAGTTAGCGTCTTATTTGCTTATTTGTTTGTGTATTAAGATTAGAAGTGGTTCACACATTGATGGATATGCTGATTGTGTTTCTCGCGCTAAACTCACGTCAGGTGCGGACTGAATACTTTCCTGCTGGTCCAGACAGCTAACTAGCAAGATCAGTTATTAAAGTAATAAAAGCTGCCGAGAGCAGATCCGAGCAGCCTGGATTAATCTGTGTCTGAGGATTATAACTAAACAGATTTGGTGAAAGTCGGTTGAGTAATAAGGAAGTTGTGGCTGATTTAATCCTGAGACTCATCGCCTCTCAGTACAAGTGAATCTGTTCACAAGCGGATCTTGACCTCTCCAACATGGCGGACGTATCACCTCACATAGAGAACAACAGGCAATGCGGCATCTAGGTATGGATATCTATGGGTGACATCATGTGTAGGGGTCACAAGGTGACTCATTTGGTATTCAAATTTCGTGGTCTGAGCTGCGTATGCAGAGAAACATCCACTTGGTAAGAACCGCCCCTGGCTGTCATTTATTACTCACGTTCATAACTAGTGTTTGATGTAAATGCACTGTTTTCTTGTGACATTATAAAACAGTGAGATGAAAATGGGATGTTTTTGCAGCTCAGTTAATTTATATGGATCAATCCCTCAGCAGTAATGCCTTCACTGTCTCTTGCAGGTTGCGTTGCTGAAAGCTGTAAAGGAGATGTGATCCGATGTATGAAGGGTGTTATGCAGAGAATTCTGGCTGCAAGTGAGACATTTCTGCATGTTCTCTGCATGTGTATTTGTGTAAGAGAGAAAAACAGAATTAGATTTATGAGATCTTATAATATATTAATACAAAAAATATATACTGTCCATCAACAGTTTGGGGGCACCTACCTCCAAACCAAACATTGCTCAGAAATTGTCTTAGGTACTTAAACAGATTGTTTAAAACTAATTATCTGGGCAGTAAGTATGTTTTTTGTCAGTTGAAACACTACATAACATTAGAAGAAATACAAATAAACACACACACACATTTTCTAAGCTGCATATCCTCCTTGGATAATAAAATCGCTACTGACTATAATAACGCTATTAGTATTTATTTCAATATTAGTGGCTTTTGAGGGAAATAAAGCTTACTGTCCAGACTTTTGCACATGTATAAAAAGACAAGATTTACTTAAAGCAGAATTCCACTGTGTTTTCAAAATTCCAGCGTATCAATCGACACAATGGTTGCTTGTGGAGGCTCAGATGTCTTTACAGTGGTGGTGATAGGAACCAGGGGTCGCCATGACTACAACACAAATATAGACATTTTATTTACTATCCAGAACCACCAGTGAACCTTCATGAGTCTTCTGAGTTTATATGGAAGGTTGATAGTCATGCTCGGAGGGTGAAGGTTAGCATGTTCTTCCTCTGAGACACATGAAACTCCACCTTCAAACTGCTGCTAACACATTGGAGCTCAACATCAGCCAACCATGCGTTGTGCTGAGTGATGCAGGGAGTTGGAGGACTACCCACCCAGTCAGAGAGTGAGAGGACAATTAGGATCTCTTGGACTCGGATGGCTGTGGCATCACCAGGGCCAAGTGTTTTGGTGACTATTTTGTCTTTGCCTGATTTATTGGATTTAGTGCAGCAGCCACATTTAGCGACATTTACGTGCAGCCCAATAATCTATTAATAATCCGACTAATAGCTCAGAATAGAGTATGTCCATGTATACACTTCAATCTGAATACACTTGTCTGATTGACGCCATTCAGAATACAGTTTCTATCTGACTGATCGAGGTGGGTAATCCTGTAAATAATCTGTTAAATAGAAGAATAATATCCGTGTAAACGCCTGTATCTGATTACATTCCCTATCAGAAAGTTTAAGATCATGATCATGTTCGTCGCGTCATAGTGAAAGTTTATACCGTTCAACATGGCGGAGCAGAAACTGGTCTGCAGAGGAGACGAGGTTTATGCTCTGGTCTTTAAAAGACGGCGGTGGGACGGACGTCCAGCTTATGTGTCTCAGAACACGACGTCTTCCTCTCGGCCTTCTTTAATAAGGACATGTGAAGGACGTTTTCCTGAGTCTTACATCATTTTAAAGCTATTAAAAACACAAGCACTGCTCACTGCTGCTCATCTCACTCTGACTGGACTCACGTGATGTTCGCTATTATGGTAACGTCTACACTAAGTGGTTCTCTACACATGCACATAATTGTGGATCTGATTACTTGTAGTGAGCATGTAAACTGAGATTTCCACCAGACTGTTGAGCAGAGTGAGAATAAACAACTCAGTCTTAATCTGTAATCAGAATCTATTCAATCAGATTGGCAGAAATCTGCATGGAAACACAGCCAGTGTGTGAAAGGTCAAACACAAGTCAAGTGATTGGATTCACAGTTTTTGATACTATTTTTTAAATGTGGCATTTTTTCTCTGTTCCAACAAATCAAATGTCAGAAAAAAGTAAATATCATGACATACTGTACATTGTGAAAACGTCCTGAAGTATCGTGACACTACATATTTGCCATATTGCCCACCTCTAACGTCTGGTTCCTATCACCAACACTGTGAACAGTTCTGACTCGGTAAGTTTTTCTAGAATGGAGTGTTTCACACCAAACCACTCTGAACCGCTCTGTTTACATCTCAACCACTTAATTATGCAGAAATGTTGAAAGTTTGATGAAACTTTGTACTGTACTGTAAGTTAATGTGGTAATGCCAATTAAGCTACTCTGAACTGAACTGAATATGGATGTTCCTCTTCCACAGGTACAAGTGAGACTCCACTGGTATCTCCTGAAGATCAACATCTAATTGGTCTGTATCACAGTTATTACCCATTCATACGTTCTGAAGAGCTTTATTATAAGACTAAAGTATTAACTGAACTTTCCTTCCAACAGAAATGGGCATGGTGAAAACTGTAGATTCATTTTTCCATTGTTACACACACAGTGATCCTTGGAACACAGTCCAGTTCATAGGTAAAATCACTACACATCACACAAGCGCAGGGTTTGGTGGTTTGTTGTTATAAACCATTCAATTTGTAGGGCCTTTCAAATAGTAAGTCATTGCTCTACAGTAGGTTCTGGAGGGCATTTAGCACTGAGTGTTTATGTTGTTTCCTTGCAGATTGTTTTCTGGGAGATCTGCTGGACAAAGCAGAGCCGTACATGAACATGTTTTCTTCACTCCTCGGGACCCCAGAAGCAGGTTCTCAGTTCCAGTATTTCTCATTTTCTGGAAGTCTGGAACCACTTTCATATATTTTGTTACATTTATTTACAAAAAATAACATGCAGACAATGCAGATTTACATATGACAAACTAGACAACAAAAGGTATTTGGAAGTTGTTTTAAATATTTTAAAATATTAGTCATTATACTATTATTATTATTCTGGGAACGTTCTGTAAATCATATATTGTAATTATCAAAACCTCCACATGATTACGAACGTGTTCCCGCTAAAATTTGTCACGTGGATGACACCACTATCACACATTTCATGAAGCGTCACCAGATCCAAGCTGCAGGTTTCGTGGTTCAGTTGTAATTTAATCTTTGAATATTATATTGCAGAGATCTTTCATTAAAATTCAATAAGGTCCAGTTAGAGAAAATTTCCTCGAGCAAAGGTCCAGAACATCATAATGTCTAACTTGTATTATGATTCAGTGCCATATACTGTTTACTGAAGTAGCCTAGTAGGTATATTAGCATCTTATACAGTCAACAACTGAATATCAAACCAAATAAAGTATAATTCAGTCATATTTCAACAACATTTGTCAGTTTTCTCTTTTTAGATCACGCCATGTTAAATAACTTCCCTCTGACTCACTTTCTTCTCCGACTGCTGTTTCTCACCTCGTCCCTCCCCTGTGTGTGTGTCACTCACTCGAGTCTCAGTGCTCATCGTAATGCACAGATCTGATTGGCTGAGTAGCGTCACGTGATATTTACAACGCATGCGATTGGTCTGTGAGTCTCCCGGGCCGCTAAACTGGTACCGTAAAGGCTAGAAAAGTTATGCTGGTTAAAAATAGGACCACTTAGACGAAATTAAATAATTCTCCATAGTTTATCAGTTATAGGTCCAGGTCCACATAGGACAGCGTCTGAGTCCGGACTTGGACCGCGGTCCGCCTTTTAGTGACCACATATTGTTTTCGTAATGAAAAGTGACTTTGACGTCCACAGCTTTTAATCCTTTTGATTTGTTATCAGTAATTTCCCTTTGGCAAAATGAACGTTGGTTCAAAACGTTTTGACTGGAACCACTGGATGGTGCAGATGTGCACGCTTCCTCCCCGTAACAGACTGATAGGTGGTCCGTGTTAAAGTAAGACAGCCGTTTCATCCCAGAAATCGGATTTTCCAGACTGTTTTCTCAGATAGTCCACTTGCACTGAGTATGATGATACTGTCATGAGTTACATGTTGAGTATGATGATACTACTTTACTTTTCTTCTGTAAACTTCCACTCTGTTCACATGAAGGTTTGGTGTCATGTTGGCTGAAGAAGGCCCTCAGAAAGATGGTGAGCTGCTTTAAGCATGTAGACCAGGCCTACTACACTACGCTGGGTGAGTAACGATATCTACACTTTCTCTCAACCAGACTATAAGAGCAGTGCAGAGTGGAACGCATTGGTCTCTGCTCTGTGTAACAGTACAGAGTCACTCCAGTGTCTTTTGAGTCCAACACAGCGTTTAAGAGACAAAAATTTGCTAAAAAGTGTCTTTTAAGCTTAAACGAAATCATTTAAATTTGTGACTATCATACAGTATGAAAACATTTAATCTAAGTAAAAAATACTATTTTTTTTATTATTTATTTATTTCCGTATAGACAGTCATTGAAGTTCCATCTTAAATATTACTAAATAAAACATCTCAACATTGCCATGCAAATATACAGCATTGTTTAAAGGTCTTAAGTACCTTTAAACCTTAAGCACATTGTTTAAAGCCATTTATCTGGGCAATAGTGCATTTTTACTTGTAAAATCACCATATAGTCATTAGAAAAAACTACAAATAAACATAAATACAGTAATAACAACAATTTCCTGTTTTCAAAAAAGTAGTTGATATCATGTGAGTTCGAAGAACAAAGTTTGGTTCTCGACTTCTCCTGGATGTTTCCAGACATCACGTGGATTTATTAAATTCCATCACCAGTACATCATGAATAATGAAGTATTGATTAGTGAACCCAGGTTTAGATGATAACTGCAATTAATCCTGCGCTTCCTCGAGGAGAGGTTTGGAAGAGGTTACGCAAGCACGTTATCACTACTTTTTGTACTAATATTAGTTGTATTTATTCTATTATTATTGTTTTTCTGAGCAAATAAACACTTATTGCTCAGATTAACAGCTTTTTAATAGTAAATTTTCCCTAGATATACTGCAAAGTACTGTATATCTGGAGGAGGAGTCTTGCTTGCTCTCATGGTTTCTAGCTCGTGGGGAGGAAAACCTTTAGGGAGTTTTTCTTGTCACTCTCGCCTGCGATGTGCTTACCTGGGGCCTGAATCTGGATTTTCTGTAAAGCTGCTTTACAGAATGCCTGTCATAAGAAGCGCAACTCACAGCAAACACTAATGCCTTTTGTACATTAACACTACATATATATCAGTTTAAAATAAAACATTAATTTAAAAACATACATACCTGATCCATATCCTTGAGTTTTGCCTCCCCTTCACAACTTCACACATCTTATTTAGCCATAAAAATACTGTGCTGTCACATTAAATGCCATGTCAAAGGGTAAATGCTATCATTTAAGTGTTCAGAGCTCAAAGCTAAGTTTTGCTTTTCCTCAATACTGATAACTTGTCATTGTCCCCATCCTTCACAGGATCCATGAAGCGTAACGTCCACCCCCTCAGACAAACTGAATAGTTCAAATTGTGTTTTTTTAAATGATATTTCTGCCATATTCAGTCACTTTGTGCATCAAAATATGCATCAAAATGTGCAGAAGTGTGTTCTCTGTAGAGATGTGTTAAGTTATTTACATTTATAAAATCAACAAAAACATGTACAATTATATGCAAACGTTTGAACACCGATCAAATTACGTCTTGTTGATATCCTAAGTGAAAATAAGTTAACACAATGTCTTCCCTACACAAATTAAAAACAGTAGTTTTTTGCAAATTTTAGAGCATAATTTCTATGTATTGCTATGTTTGACATGCTGAACAAAACATAAAATATAACCAATAACCATTTTTTTCCAATGTGTTAAATTCAGCAGATAAACAGTAATTGTATGTGCAGTATAATAGTAAAAATAACTGCAAGTGGCAATACAGGGGTCAAAGCAATTTAAACTCAAATGATCCCATTTCATGATCAGGTACAATGTTACTGATCATCATAATAATGCAGTGAAAGGTGACAAATATGGGTTTAACCAGCAAACTTCTCATTTGCAAACATTGGATTGGAACCCAGGACCTCTGGATTTGCAGTCAGGCATGTTACCAACAAGCCCCAGCATGACTTTCCTTAATACAGTGGTTTTAAAGACTACATATATATACATATATATATATATATATATATATATATATATATATATATATATATATATATATATATATATACTATGGTTTGCTTAACAACCTTTGCCTAACAACATCAAGCCATAGATGAGGCTTGAACTCATGCACCGAGAATCTAAAGTTATATGTTGTCGGGGGAGCCACAAGTGGACCATGCTGACCATGCACCATTTTTGAAACTACTTTTTAACTGAATAAGTATTATTATTATTATTAAGAACTATTATAATCAAACTAATCATTTAATTAAACACATTAGTTTGTTATCCTGCAAACATGTTCCAAATTTTGTAATATTTTAATAATCCCTAATAAATGTATGGTTTATAACCCGTGCTGCACTGTTTGATTTATGTACAGCTGCCATAAAGTACAAAGAAGCACATTTTTTACGATGATTATTTACTTTCAGATTCCAAAGAATGTTTCTAGATTTTGAGACAATATCCTGAAAGGAGTGACTAGTTCAAATATTTTCAGGTATTTTACAAACTTTGCACAATTGCAATAAAACATAATTGTCAGTCTTAATTGCCTGCATGAAATTAATTTATTTACCCCAACATAAGCACAATCAGTCATGCACCTGTTTTTATGAATAGCGCCACATAATGGCCAATTGATGTAAATGTTTTTTTTGTATGTAGTTTATTAGAGAAAGCCTACTTGTACATACCATGCAAATTTCTTGATGACTGGCCAACGTTAAGCATGCCAAATGCTTGCAAAAGCCAATTGGCTGATGGTGGCCATATTTTTGCATTAACTGAGTTGTCATTATTATGTCCCTTATAAGGTAACTCAAAGAATCAGAATGCAAAATTTAAGTGGCAGCTGAGACAGTTTTTTTTTTTAGTGTTGTAGCGCCCCCTATTGAATAATTGGTGTCAAACTTTGTGGCCTTCATGAAAATCAGGTGAGGTATAGGCTTTTTAAGTTTCATGAGAATTGGTCAAAGTAATCCAGATCTGTAGCCATTTTTGTAAATTAAGCTACACCCTGAAGGGCTTAATTGGCACGTGACAGTGATATATTTTTACAAATATTCAAATTTCTGAGATATTTTTTTATCTACAGACTCTTGTGAATATTTTGACACCTATTTTGTGGGGATATCATGACAAACCTCAAAACCAAATTTCTTGCATATTTTGCCAAGTTTGATGCAAATTTTGCGAGCTGCTCAAAACAGACCGAGTGAGGAATTTGTGTGGAATAAATCAAGAAATCTGGGGAAAAAAATATTTTTTGCCTTTGTACCTGTCACATTTCTGTATCTGATGTTAAGCGGAATTGTTCTCTCTGCTTCTTCTTAACAGAACACAACATGAAAATGGAGACAATCTTTAACAGCGAAGGTAAACACTGTACTTGAAGCCGCTGTTGATGTGATTTAAAATGTCAAAATTTCTGTTTTAATAGTGAAGATATGCTGTGGAATAAGTGTTTACCAGTGTTATATTTAGAAAAGAAAATCAGTCACTTTATGCGAGGGGGAGGAACACAAGTATCTGACGTATACACACTGCTAACTCTGATTGGTGTTTGGGCAGGTCTGACGTCATCTGCACCACATTTAGTCCCACCTAAAACTTAGATTGAACAGGTGAAAAACAAGAGAAAAATCTCTCGACAGAAAAGACCAACAGGGTTCTTTCTCTGCCAGTTCACAGTAAAAACATCCCAAAAAAACTACAGAGACAGTACGTGACTGAAGTGCCCTTGAGCAAGACACCTAACCCCCAACTGCTCCCTGGGCGCTGTGGATAGGGCTGCCCACCACTCCGGGCAAGTGTGCTCACTGCCCCCTAGTGTGTGTTCACTAGTGTATATGTGGTATTTCACTGCACAGATGGGTCAAAAGGTGGAGAGGAAATTTCCCCATTGTGGGACTAATAAGGGTCACTTAATGTAAGAAGAAAATCATGAGAATGAGTAGACAGGGGCTTTAAAGGGGAACTCCACTGATTTTGCAAAATTACTTAATCATTCAATGGTTTAGCCGTGAACAAAATCAGAGTGGTTCGGTGTGAAATGCACATTTCTAGAGAAATTTACCAAGTCAGAAATGTTCTCCATTATAGTACTATGAACCAGATGTCCAAAGCATTTAATGGCTCTAAAAGCTACATCCCATTAAGTTATTACAGGTTATGAATGCATTGCTTGATACCCGAGACACTGTTTTGTGAAAATTTTGTTATAAAATGTATTTTTAGTATAAAGTTTTACTCCAGGATTAGTTTCATGTTTCCTCTTAAAACCCCATTCTCAACTGAGATCAGTGCACGCAAGCTAACATGCTTCCAAGCTAACATACTGTTCAACAAAGCTAGCGCCAGCAGCAGCTTTTGTTTACAGTTTTCGTTCCATATCAATTACACACGCAGTTGCAAACATGTTTTCTTTCAATTTAGCACTATTTCCACATTATCAGCATCACTGGTCATTCTGGACAGCAGATAAAATGTCGATATTTGTAGTGTAGACATACGGACGTCTGGTTCCTATCACCACCACTGTGAACAATTCTGACTCGGTAAGTTTCTCTTGAACGGAGCGTTTCACACTGAATGATTTTGTTCACATCTAAACCATTAAATGATTAATTCCTTTCCCTTTAAGTTTAATCTCAGCTTTGGCTTCTGAGAAAGCACTTGGACTGCAGGTGACAGTACTTTTTCATTGTTTTTAATCTGTGTTTCAGAACACATCAGCTGTTATGATAAGATATTTAGAGAGAAGAAATGCTTCCAGATGTTCGCAAGGTTGATGGGTAAATTAATCTCAGTGATATGATATTTATTTCTGTTTCTGGGAAAAAGAAAGAAGAAGTTTAATCTGACTGTTTTTCTCTTTTTTTTAATGAAGGTCCTACCCCAGCTACGCTAACCAAGTCAAAAGGTGGGTAGCTTTTGAATTTTTTAAGGTGGTATGCAAGCACTGAAATGAAGCCTTTAGCTTTTATAGATACACCAGGTTAAAATATGAAAGTTATCTAGCTGTGCAGAATAAAGCTGAAGAATAACTGAAGATGTGTTTAGTTACTGAGCTGGTTAGATATTAGACCACAATCAGAGTAAGCCTGAGCTAAAGCCAAAGTTAGCCTGCTAGCCTACAAACCCTCCTTAAATTCTGGTTTACTCAAGTTGGATATCCTCACACTAGGCCAGTCCTTGATGGCCAAAACACTGCAGACTTCAGCACGTTGGCTCATTAAACAAGCCTGAATCAGCTCATCAGCTAATTAGCGAGGATTTCGTAAACTGAATTCAGAGCGTGAGATGAGGGTAAACGCTGATCTCTGCAGCACTTTGGCTACGTTCACATTACCAGGCTGAAGTGGCACAAATCTGATTTTTTGCCCTAATGTGACTCAGATCTGTTGTTTTCAGGGCTGTGTGGACACAAATCTGATCTTTTCAAATCCGACCATATGTGGTCCTAGATGGGATACGTATCTGATTCGTGGCCATGTGACCTTAATGTGACGCTCAGATCGGAATTCATGTGCTTTTTTTCCACTGCGCCATCATTCAGCGTTACCATGGCAGCAGCGCCGAACAGAAGTGAAAGCCTGTAAACGGTGGAAAAGCAGCTCATCTCACCTTTTTCTCCTTCGTCTCGCTCTAATAATGAAGCTGAGAGCTGATCAGAGTTCATGATCTTCTCAGCGAAGCTCGTTCTGCTCGTTAGTTTGTGCTGATGATGAACGTGATTCATTCACGTGACGTTACTGAGTAGGATGAGCTCATGAGGGTCATTTCAGGACGCCGGTTCGTCACATTAATGACAGATTTGAATCACTGACCTAAACGAGTGTGAACCATCGTGTGAGAGAGATCGGATTTGAGCAAAAAAATCGGATTTGAGCAACGAGGCTTGTAATGTGAACATAGCTTTTGGCCCACAAGGTGCCCAGTTTGACAAGCCTGCACTAGTCTCTGCTTCAGTGTTGCATTCACTAATTACTCAGATGAGTCCATGTTCATCTCTTCCAGGCCTCTTCGTCTGCTTCATTAACGAGGCGGTGTTAGCGACAGCCGCATGCTGAAGTAGCCGAGGAGGAAAACGGGCCTGACGAAGACTCTCCTGCAGAACGGACCCTTCAGGACAAACAAACACCTAAACAAATCTGACATGATTTTCTTTTAAAAATTTACAGCAGGTTATAATGAAGAACTTACACCAAATGTGGTCAGTTGGTCAGTTGGTATCTGAAGATTTGCACTGGACTAGCAAGTAATGGAAGCTTATTAGCATTAGCCAGCTAGCATTATGCTTACCGCTTGCCTAAACTGTCACACTCTCCTCAGACTGTGTAAGTTAAACCAAAATCCACTGATTTTGCAAAATTACTCACTAATTCAATGGTTTAGATGTAAACCAATCACTCAGAGTGGTTTGGTGTGAAATCCACCTTTCCAGAGAGTTGTTCACCATTATAGTCCTAGGAACCAGACGTCCAAAGCATTTAATGGCTCTAAAAGCTACATCCCGTTATTACAGGTTATGAATGCATTGCTTGATACCTGAGACACTGTTTGGGCCTAAAACATATTTTCAGTATGAAGTTTTACTCCAGGATTATTTGTGTGTTTCCTCTTATACCCCATTCTTAACTGAGATCAATGAACATGAGCTAACATGCTTTTGTAGTTATTAGCCTGTAGCTAAAGCTGTTCAACACGGCTAACGGAAGCAGCTGCTTCCGTTTACAGTTCATTTTTACAGTTTTCTTACCTACTTTGGAAGATGGCAGAGTATGAGGAGGACTCTGAGGAGATTCCAGTTTCTGTGGTGGAAAATAGAACAGAGGGATCAGCAGTTTTCTTTAGCAGCCGCTTTTGAAGAAATCCACTTTGCATTTTTTCACTGGTTTTGAGTCGACTTTATCAGTTTTTAGTTCAGTTTGTAGAGTTGATCAACTTTGATACCTATTTTTGTGCAGCTTCAAAACAGTTAGCCACAACTTCAGGATTTCTGGTGTCAGCAGCTGAAAAAATGCACCGTACTGAAGTTTTCCCCATTTATTTCTGGATCCTGGCTCAGTGCAGTTCACCATCACTCTGAACAATTAACCAGCAAGGTGCCACTGTGGTCAGTCGCAGCTCCTCTGATGAGTAACGTTACTCACATAAACTTTTTTGCTGACACCGTGTGACGCAGCGCTGCCAACCCAACAACACTAAATGCACCCCACCCTACCCCCCCAAAATCCCTGATAGCAAGAGGACAGTGGACCACTGTCAGCCCACTAACGGCAAAGCTGTCAGTCCACTGCCGTTTTGGTCAGCGTTTTCTGGGCAGCCCACCAGTTTTTAGGCAGAGTAATAGACAAAATTTCACTTATCATCACTCATTTTCCGCTCACAGCTCAGTTTACTGATTTTTCCTTCCTTCCTTTCATTCGTTATTCTTAGTAAATTAGTTTAGTAAGTAATTTTAATCCAGCTCAGTGTCAGTAACAGCATTTTCTATAAAATCATTTTATATCAGGCCTAGTCATTGTTTGTCTCTCTCAGTTGTTTGTAATAATTGTCTAAGTTTATTTTCTAAAATAAAAGTCTGTGTGTGTTTAAAATCTGTTTGAGGAGATTAAAAACTAGTTAAAGTTTGTATGCAGGACAGTAATCTGGGTGGTCTGAGGGTGGACCAGCAGTGGCAAACAGTCAGCAAAGTGCCGACCTTATCAAGCCAGCGGACCGATATATGCTGCTATCTGGGATAACCTCCATCTGCAGGGTGGAGAGGTACATGAAGGGCGTTGTAAGAAAAAATAGTACCCAAAGGAAGTATTTAGCAGTATTTTACCATTATCAGCGTGACGTATAAAAACATAGACACATGTAAGTTCACTGGTCGTTTTGAATTGCAGATAAAATGGTAATATTTGTAATACAGACATACAGACGTCTGGTTCCTATCACTACAATGGTGAACAATTCTGACTCTAGAAAGGTGCATTTCACACCAAACCACTCTGAATGATTTTGTTTATATTTAAAAAATTAAATGATGAATTAATTTTGCAAAATCGATGGAGTTTCCCTTTAAGTAATCTCTAATAGGCTATAAGTTTCTGACACTGTATGACGCATTTTGTAAAGTGCATGTACTCTTTTTTATGCGATCTGTTAGCAGCCATGCAGACACACTTCAGTCTTGTGATTCTTAATCCAAAATAAAAGTGCACCATGATTATCCTGTAAAATATATTTGACTTTGAATCATGCTTTTCCAGTTAAAGACATCACAATGAACACAGTAATAATGGTGATACAGTGCGCTTCATGGAAAGCAAAGAATAATAAAATAGACTTTCTCTAAAACCGTCCCGCAAACATTTACACTGGTCCACACGTCTGTCCGCTGGGAGACCCGTCGGCGCGTGTCTCGTTACAGTCTCCTCCGGTTCCAGTCTTTATCCTTTACCGCCACTGTCAGCCAGTACTGTACCCAAAATGATCCCTAAGTGCAGTAGATCTAGGTTTATTTATATTACTAATATAAGCTTTCTTTATTGTTTTAATAGGACGTACACAACACACTCAAAGCACAGAGACGGAGAGAGAGAGAGCGAGAACAAAAGACCATGAGGACACATGAACAAAGACAGCAACACCAGCAAACAAACAACCAACAAACGAATAATACACACATACCAGTGGACATACGCACGTCATACACACAAACATCATGAATATATGAAGCTAATCAATAAAGCATCTGGAGTAACTGTCTTGGTAACTGTCGCTGGGTCACCCTTGGGAGGGAGGTGGGGTGCAGTTGAACGTCAGAGTTTAAAACGTCCATAAAAATCTCATTTCCTCTCCGTAACGGAATCCGAGGTCGGAGGCCAGGGTCCGAGAGATGGCCTTCCACCTCTATAGGCAGGTTTCGAAGCTGTGCAGTGGGCTGGGGGGGCCGGGGGACGTGGGTGGGACGAGTCAGGTACACTCGGCTTTCGAAAGTAAGTCTGTGTTTTCGTCTATACTAGCACATCAGCACACACTGAGACATATTTACAGCCATGAGGGTAAAACAGACAAAGTGTTGTGGCTCCCAAAGTGGTTTCATTTTTGTTGAAAGGACAAAATGGCTCTTCTTAACATTTCAGTTGCGACCCCTGAGTTAAGCCTACTAGTAAGGGGCGATCAGCGCGTGACCGTTTCCTCGAACTGTCCACGGCTCAGTCATTACTGCACAGCCGCCACCAGCCCAGTTAACGGCCACGTTCTGTGGTTCAGATTTTGCGGATTGACTCCTGTATAGAAATTGTAGCATCAATTTTCGCTATAGCTACACAAAATTTGTAGGCGCTACAACTGTTAGCTACATTTCATAAAACAGTAGCGGCTACAGCTACTAGCTACAAAAAGTAGCGCGCTACATAGCCCTGTATATTTGCAGCTTTTCAATTGTAAGTTTCTTTCTGGCTCATGGTTAAATGCAGTGTTTTGTTCACACTGTCAGTTGGGCTTGTTTGGTGTGTCAGGTGGAGATTCATCCACATTCTGACAGTCACGCTTTGACAGTAGCCAAAAAGTAGCCACTACTTTTTCTGGAAAAGTAGATCAATTGTAGCTGCTACAAATTTCGGGAAAGTAGCTACAAAGTAGCTAACTACTAATTAAAATAAAGATAAAAGAGTGCACAAATACGGCAAGTAGGTGGGTTTCAAATGGAGTCATGAGTGCATTTAATCATATTTAATCACAGTTTGTCCTACACTCTTGAAGAAGACGGTTCTTCGTGGGTTCTTTAGTAAAGACGATGGTTCTGTTTAGAACCTTTCATGCTTAAAAGGTTTGCTGAATGGTGAAATTATTCCTTTTTTGGTGAGAACCATTTTCAAAAAGGATCTACATAGAACCATATACAACACGTTCTCCATCAATCTGAAGAGCAATTTCACCATGCAGGGAACCCTTTACGCATGAAATGGTTCTATATACAGCTCGTGGTTCTAAGCAGAACCCTTGAAGAACCTTCTATTTTTAAGAGTGTACCTTAAATGCAAGATATACATGTGTCTTCTATGTGTCTGAAAAGCAGGTAAATCTCAGGACAGAAGCTGCAGCTCAGATAAACAGATGAACTCAAACTCATGAATAATAATGATGATGATAATAATTATTAATTAATTAATTAAGAAAATAATGCTGAGTTTTTTTCACGTCTACTTTTATTAGTTATTGATTCGTGAAAACGCGCTGAAGGCTTTACGGTCAATAACAGCTAAAAACCCCTCCTTACCTGCTCGGACATCTGCGCGCTGCTGTGATCGATCAGATCTGTTTCAGTTTCTTTTCTCAGAAATTAAAAATCATTTCTGTTCAAAACTTTTTCAGGAGCGGCCTACCCGGAAACCACGGACATTCTGATACACGCGCCATCCGAAGTGTCAAAATAAAAGCCCTTCTCTGGACGTGAAAAGCAGTTATCATTCAACATCTGTGAAGAATTAAATATTATATTATGAGTATGCGTATGCAATTTGAGTATATATAATTAAAATGCACCCCAAACATTCATTCATTCATTCATTTTCTCTTTTAATTTTCCTTTTTTAATTTCTTTAGTATATGTGTATGTGTTTATGTATGCACATGGTCAAAGCATGTCGATATGTTATATATTTTGATTGTTATTATCAGGACTCTTTTTTATTTGAAATAAATGGAAGGTTTTATCTGAACATAATTTGAGTAGCAGTTATTTTTATAGTATTATTTTGTTAATAACCCACAATGCTGTCATCTTCCTCTCCTTGTATCTGTTTCTCTCTTATTTTTTCAGTTTCAAAAGAGACAAAAGATTTCAGGAAAATTAGTAAAGATTTCTTGAATCTGTTACTGAATATAAACACACATTTACATGTAACAGCAAAAGATTTTCAGAAAAATAAATTCTAAAAACAAAAAAGCTGAAAAAAGACACACCAAAATTTGAGGAAATCAGAATTTGTAAAGTTGCTGTGTCTGATCCACTCACATCAGTGCAACACTTTGTTAACAATTTATCTTAAGTCTTCATTCATTCATCATTTTAACTGCTTAATCCAGATTAATACAGGTCGCGGTAGCAGTCGGGAGGGCAGAGAATCCCAGATGACCCTGCCCCCCGCAACTTCCTCCAGCTCATTCTGGGGGACCCCGAGCCGCTCCCAGGCCAACTTGGAGATATAATCCCTCCAGCGGGTCCTAGGACGACCCCGGGGTCTCGTCCCAGTAGGCCGTGTCTGGTAAACTCAGTGTTTGAGTTTACCAAACACTGGTGGCTCCTCTCAATATGGAGGAGTACTGGCTCCACTCTGAGCTCCTCCTGGATGACCCTGTCAGTAGAGTGTGGCCGCCACCCTGCGAAGAAAGCTCATTTCCGCCGCTTGTATCTGTGATCTCATTCTTTCGGTCATTACCCACAACTCATGACCACAGGTGAGGGTGGGGATGTGGACCAGCTGGTAAACAGCCTGCGGACGATCTCACCATCCCTCTTCCCATCATTCGTAAACAAGACCCCAAGATACTTTAACTCTATGATGAAGGGACACAAGAGACCGTGTACCCTGCCCAGGACAGGATTACCGGGATCCAGCCCTGGAGCCAGGCCTGGGGGTAGTGTTCTTTGGCAAACTCCTGGTGGCCAGGCAACCCAAGTAACCCGGCCAGGCTCGACCCGAAAAGGCAACGTGGGGGACCACGTGAGCCTACCATCTGCAAGGACAGGTGCAGTGTTGTATAGGCGGTGGGGGATGGCAGGGAGGTCTTTGGTGGCATGGATCCCTTCCGTGAAAACTGGCTCTTGATGATCTGAAGTTATAGAGGAAAAATAGCACATTTAAGACACAGTCCATCCATTGGTCTTCATCCCTTAATGTTACTCTTAATCACATTGAGTTGAAAATGTAGCGTTATCATAACATCAACAGATCGAGAATTCTCCTGTAGATCCTAGATCCCCATTTTGTACATATGAATCTATCATTTTTATCCTCTGTTTTCTATCAACAGTCACCAAACCTGATATTGGGTCCACTTTTGCCTGTGGAGGTCTACCCTGGATCCAACACAATCGCCCTCTCTACGCTCTGCCTAAATATTTTTTCATTGCTGCTGTTGTGAGGTTGGACAAGCTTTATAGATTGTTGGTAAAAATCCTATTGAACCTAATTAAACTGTAGAACAGACTCAGTTTATATCACAATACCTACATTTAGAGTCAGTTATTCATTCAGCCTAATGAGAAACTGTAGAACAGACTCAGTTTATATCACAATACCTACATTTAGAGTCTGTTATTCATTCAGCCTAATGAGAAACTGTAGAACAGACTCAGTTCATATCACAATACCTACATTTAGAGTCGGTTATTCATTCAGCCTAATGAGAAACTGTAGAACAGACTCAGTTTATATCACAATACCTACATTTAGAGTCAGTTATTCATTCAGCCTAATGAGAAACTGTAGAACAGACTCAGTTTATATCACAATACCTACATTTAGAGTCAGTTATTCATTCAGCCTAATGAGAAACTGTAGAACAGACTGAGTTTATATCACAATGGCTGTTCAAACTTTTGCCTACAGCTGAACTGATTAGGTTTTATATTTATACCTTTTTGCTTGGTTCATTTTACAGCTAAACTATTTTTAATGTTGATCACACCTGTAGAAAAGGACATGCCCACTCAGAGGAACTGTCACCAAAGACACTCCCAGGTGTGCATCAGGACACACCCACTCTGTAAGGTGCATTTAAGAAGCTGGTGTTGGGTCATAGCTGGAGCTGATCTGGTTATTTGTTTCCTGAACGCAGGTATGTTCTGTGTGTGAGTGTGTGTGTGAGTGTGTGTGAGTGTGTGTGTGTGTGTGTGTTAGGCTTATCATTGGCATAATGAAAAGAAAAGCACTAGAGATGATAGAGTTAATAGTCAAGTGTAATAGCAGACCGGTTCGTTTACTTTGTTTACCTTTAGCTCTATAACTCTACCTTAAAGACATGATTCTTTACACTGTCTTCTCAGAGATATGAATTACATTTTTATGTGTGTAGCTTATTTAATCTATACTTTACAAGATTAGACATAGGAGAGAATGTAGATCAGCGTATTATGTAGTGTATAAGCAAGCTTACAGTTTTGACAGACTCCTTTCAGCACCTGTACTCTGTTTTTCAGTCACTGCTGTACCGGAATGTGTTCCACTCGGGCCGCCGTTCTGCTCCTGCTCTTTGGTAACAGATTCTCTTTTACAGATTATTTCCATAGATACACTAACTAATCCCTGAAGATCTGATCTGGTCTGAGGTTCGATGTAAAGTGATCAGGCTCTTCACAGTAATGCGAAAATGAAAGTTGTCTTTGTCATGAAATGAAAGAGAAACAAAGCAATAACAGTAAACTGAGCTGTTTAAACAGAGGCGCTTCATGCAGGCTGACAAGATTTTTCTATCTGATGGTGAAAAGGCAGAATCAGAAAACAGAATCAGAATCAGAAAACAAAACAAAATCAGAAAAAGTAACAGAAATAATAAAACAAAAATGATCAAAATAAAATAAAATAAAATGACCAGTAAGTAAAATAAATGACAACAGCATTTTAATTAACAGCTACACTCTTAAAAAAGATGGTTCTTTAGTACAGAAAATGGTTCTATATAGAACCATGAACACTTAAAGAACCATTTTGCATCTTTAAATGGTTCTCTGCTGGTGAAATGGTTCTTCAGATTAATGGAAAATGTGTTCTGTGCAGTTCTGTGCAGGTCCATTTTTGTTCATCAAGGTACAAACAGTGTAAATGTTCCCTCAAAGCTCCAACAGTGGTTTTAAAGTCTGATTGTAAACCTTAAATAAGTTTTTCCAGGTGAAAAGTTTGTATTTGTACCTTTTCATAACCGAATGTTTTAAAACAGAACAGTAAAATAAAAGCCTGGAGACGAGACGGGGTGTGTGGAGTCAGTACAGCTTAGAACATATCATTTCAGTGGATTATGGTTCAGTTATGTTCCCTGACTACTGAGACGGACCCCTGAGGGCTCCACCCCAGCAACAGTTTAGTACCTTTATTTCTGAGAGTGACTGTCAGCTCTTTAAAATTTGCGCTGACACTCAACAACAATGAGCTTCTCTAAGCAGATGGCAGAGGATCTGAAAATGAAGCTAATTGATGTGTACACTGTTAGAAATAAAGGTACCTTATATAAGTTCTTCCCAGAGAAAAGGTACATATTTGTACCTTTTCTTAACATAATGCAGGGGGTTGCTGACGGGGGCTGCAGCAACCCCTGATGTCAGGATTGCAACTGTTAAAAAATGTTCTAAACTTGAGAATAGTAAAGACCCATGTGTGTTCATTTAAGAGTGAAGCTTGTATTTATATATATATATATATATATATATATATATATATATATATATATATTAGGGGTGGGAATCTTTAGGCACCTCACGATTCGATTCGATTACGATTCAGAGGCTGCGATGCGATTATAAAACGATTATCGATGCATCTTGATGCATCTTTTTTCTCTATACATGATTTCTATCTTCCTACTGTCTGAGGACTTGGTAGTTTTAAAGCAAAGTATTTGTAATGATCCGTAATGTAAATGCATTATGGATCATTACAAATACTTTGCTTTAAATATCTAAAATATCTTTTATTAATAAATCAAATGGAAGTGATGTGGCAAGTGAACTAGAAGGCTCTCATTCAGAGACGCTGCTGCCGCTCATCTGCGATAAAATGCGCTGTTGCCTTGAAATAAGATCCAGTGGTGATGGGTGTCCACGCAGCGTGTTACAGCCATCCTTTTGGTCTCGTTGTAGAGAATGTGTGTGTGTGTGTGTGTGTGTGTGTGTGTGTGTGTGTTGGGGGGGGTGTATTTTCGAGACTGGACGCTGAATCTCGGCTTCAAAGTGTGCAGCATAGCGCGAAAGCCCTGGTTCTCAACGACTGAGAACAGACAGCAGACAGCAGGTCACACAGCCCCGAGGTCTGGCCTCGCCAGTAGCGAACGAAAAAACAGACTAAGACGAACATTTGGAGACTTATTCGCATTTATAAGCAGCGCGGTTGGTTAAATCTGCTGAGAGACTGTCTTTCTCTAAAAAGTTGCGAAAATGAACTCGCTTCTCTTTCTTATTTTTCCGTTCCACCTTAAATGGCGCAGCAGTTACATTCGGCGCCTCAGGCAGAATTTAAGGTGGAACGGGAAAATTAGAACGAGAAGCGACTTCAGCCTCGTAAAACAGCCGGACGCTGAGACATTTTACAAGAAACTCTTCTAGTTTTGAAGAAAGGTTTTCTGGCGGAGATGGGAGGAAAGCGGCTAAAGCTGAAGCTTAAAGCACAGCAGAGTAAATCTGCGCTCTCGTTTATATTGTTTAGTCTATACTAGGATATTAACACACACTGAGACATACTGGACATTAAATGTTGCGGCTCCCAAGGTGGTTTGACTTTGTTGAAAGGCAAAATGGCTCTTCTTATCATTTGTGTTGTGACTCCTGATCTAACCTGGCTTTAATGCAGAGGGAGCCGGTCGGATTTCTCGCTCGTCCAGTAGTGTTTTTGTTATGTGCCACAGACTGTCCGGGCGCTGCACTTCCGCACTTCCAGTTCAGCCTTTTACATTCCGTGAACATCACGTTATAAATTAAATATATAGAAAATCTATTATTGACATTTATGAATCGATTCAGAATCGCTCACGTCCACATCGCGATGCATCTAAGAATCAATTTTTCCCGCACCCCTAATATATATATATAATATATATATATATATATATATAAATCTGCAGTAGCTGCATTGTTTTAGTAAACACTATATTTTCAATATAGTGAGCTGACAGCTGCTGGGTGTGTCGCTAAAACACAGGATAAGGCTATAAAAAGATATCGTAGCACTTCCAGCTCGCAAATTCCACTGTCTGAAATGTCATTAAGAAATGGCAGTTAAGGGGAACTGTGGAAGTCAAGGCAAGATCTGGAAGACCCACAAAACTCTTTACCGTGCATTGATACAGCAGGGCAATGAGCCGAAGCAAAGCTCAAAATCAATCACGAACTGCTTCAAGAAACGGAATCTGAAGCTTTAGGAGTGGCTTTTACTGTCGTCTCACTCAAACACCATTGAAAATCGGTGGGTAGATCTTCAACGTGCTGTGTTCACAAAACAAGAAAACAATAATAGAAAGACTCTACAGAAAAGCATTTGCAAGATGTGATGCCTGCCAGAGAGGGTGTACTGACTGTGTATTAACATTCATAGAAAAAAGCAAATGCACATCTCTGCAGCTCCCCCACTCCACCCCCACTAATGCATGTGGTCATATTCATTCCAGATGACCTACACAGGTGGTTGGATTGCTTGGCTGCTTTTAAATTCTGCCTTTTTATGATCAGATAGCAATCTTCAATCAAAAGTAGTCAAAAAAATTGACAAGTTAATTAATAGTGGGGAAATGTGTAGCAAATCTACTCCTTTATTTTGTGTTTCTCCTTTCATAATTTCATCTCTCTCTCTCTCTCTCTCTCTCTCTAGCAGTGATCTCTATTCCTGGTGAAGCTGTTAAGTTCCCAGTGCTCTTTGGGGAAATATCTGGTAAAATCCATGTTTTTATACAGGTTATGCAGGTTCTAGATTCCCTGGAAGCAGCTTTCCATTTAGATGACATGACAGCACTTTATGGGTCATTGGCATGACATGCATTTTTTGTGCCATAATTTTCCTAATTAATGAATTAATAAATACATGACATATATTAAATTATTCAACTCCACCACTTTTATGTGAAACGATTCTCCGTGCATCCATATAAAATTCATTTTATTTTCTTTTTGCCTCCAAAAGTCTGAAATTGTGAAGTGGTGCAACCGTTTAACCATATATGTTAATTAAGTAAACTATCACAAAAAGGTCAAATTCAAAATTAAATAGTTTGGCATCATTTTATGTTTGAAAGCTTTGAAATAAAACAATGTCGCAAAAGAAAACGACTTTAAAAGTGTTCAACTCACTGAAAATCTATCTGCAAGTTCTTACTAAACCAAATGTCAGGTGGCACAACCAAAAACAAAGAACTTTTATTTTGACATGCTTTTACGAGGGGCCAGAGTATTGCATCAAAAAGAAGACCCCAAGTGACCTTCATGGTGCAATGCCAAGGTCACAAATTTAGTAAAAAGTGTGATGTTCAGTTTACCATGTCAGGTGGTCTGACCCCAAGAGAACCATGAAAACGTGGAATTATTATAATAATGTTTATTTATTTGATAAACTGTAAGTAAAAACACAAAGGACAAAGGTTTCTACGGGTGTCTAAGTACATGCCTGTTTAATTTGACATAGTCTGAAAAGTCAGGCGGTGCAAGTAGTCAGTCAACCAGACCAGCACAGTTTAATAACTGAAACAGGCAATTAAAAGCTTACATAATAACACTATATTTAAGATAGAAGATGTAAATATATGCAGATATAAAAATGCCCATCGTGTCCTCTTTAAAAAGATTTTTAAAAATGTCATTTTGAAAACCTTATTTGTCATTGATTCAAGTATTAAAGCAACATTTTGGCAAACAAACAAACAAGCACATTTTTCTAATTATCTCAAAAGCAGACGATCAGCCACAAAACTGCATCACACAGCAGCCATCCTGCAACCTGGGTTTGATCCAAACTTTTGTCCATGTTTTTAGGTAACGGTGAGTCATACAGTCTCAGAAACCACAGAATCAACACTATTAGAGATACTGAATAACTACACACAGTTTGAGGCTATGTAGGTTTGTATGAAGCAAACTACTGCTTTAAAGACTCCCATGAAAGGGTGCTTGTGGTCATACAGTGCCCTGTTCTTATTCTACTGAGGACTTTTGTATAAGCAGCTTAATGCAGCCGGTGAGAACACAGAAAAGGCCCGAGGGGTTTGCTTCCATTTTTAGGAAATGACTGCTGTATGTGTCTCTTTTCACAGACTGTGTTCAGAGGCAGTGCTCTGAAAAGATAGATGCCTGCCAGGAACGCTATGGAGAGGCTCTGACAGGCCAGCTGAGAGGTACACTACACCACAGCCAATTTAAAGGACACACATCCTATACATATACCGACTGGCCACTTCATTAAGTCCACCTACTTGTATCTACAATCACTATCCATTTTATCAGCTCCACTGACCATATAGGAGCACTTTGTAGTTGTTTCTCTGCATACTTTGTTAGCCCCCTTTCACCCTGTCCGTGGCATGTTATTGTGTGTGTTGTGCTGGTATGAGTGGATCAGACATGCTGACATCACCAAAACAGTTGAAAATGGGCTGTTTGTGCAGCTTATTTTCCATATATGAATTGGGGAGGGAACATTTTGAAACTTTAACCTTGTCTACGGTTACGGCCCGGTCTAGGTGGGGCCGCAACATAAAAAAATGAGAGACCTCCCGGTTCCCCATCTCACACATACAACCAGTTTTGCTATAATAACAAATTGGTTTTATTTTCTTCAAGAGTTCAAGGCCTTAGGCAAAGTTATCTCTTTAGGAAATGAAAATAAATGAAACAGTAGGAGAGGGAAGAGAAAAATAACAAGCAAAACAAAGCGAAACTTGGATTTAGGGATATTTAACTTACCTAACAAACAAAAAAAGAAAAGCCAATAGCGTTTCTGACCTAACTTCCTAACTAAAGCAAACCAAGAGAAAACAGAGGCAAACAAAAAGCACCCTCTCTCTCCGATAAGAGAGATTATATAAAAGACCTATAAGCATTTCAGTAAGCAAGTTCATATCCAGGCATGTCTTATAAGTCAGCTTCATGTATGCTTATGTGTGTATTTAACTTTTATTTTATTTAGTATTTTTTCATTTGGATGTGTGAAATATTAATTTGTTTGCTTAATTCTTGCAGGTTTCATTCAAAGTTGCCCACTTGTCCTGTACACGTTTGTTAAAATAAAATTTTAAAAAATACAAAAGCTGTGTCTCTGAGCAGCCGTATTAGCTCAGTGTTTACAATAAACTTCAGTGAAAGTGCTCTATCAGCAAAACCTATCTTCATGAAAATCTCAGCAACAAGCCACAAAGCACCAATAAGCTACACACCAACATTCAGACTTTTACACAGACACAGCTCTACAGCAGTAGTTCTTTCAATGACTGGTCAGGGAACCGTGCCAGAGCTGGTTTATGAGCAGCCTGGCCTCTTCCTATTTCTCTCGTTATATCAAAAACAGGAGTGCTAAACAGCAGAGGGCGCCTGCGAGCGAGTCCTCAGTGAATGGGAGTAAAAGGAGCTCAACGGCTACAAACGAAAAGTTAAAATAGTTTCTAATCACTGAACCAGAACTTTCCTTTAATTTTAGAAAGTAGAAGGAGTTTCACAAAAAAAGCAAAAAAAACTCACCTGAATGTTTCCTTTTTACACAGCAAACGGGTTTTGGGCAGCAGGACGCTAACATTACTGAGTGCTGATTGGTTGGCATTACTGCTACTGAGCTCTGATTGGTTAGCATTGCTGCTACTGAGCGTTGATTGGTTAGCATTACTGCTACTGAGCGTTGATTTGTTAGCATTACTGCTACTGAGCGCTGATTGGTTAGCATTGCTGCTACTGAGCGCTGATTGGTTAGCATTCCTGCTACTGAGCGCTGATTGGTCAGCATTCCTGCTACTGAGCGCTGATTGGTTAACATTACTGCTACTGAGCGTTGATTGGTTAGCATTACTGCTACTGAGTGTTGATTGTTAGCATTACTGCTACTGAGCTCTGATTGGTTAGCATTACTGCTACTGAGTGCTAATTGGTTAACATTACTGCTACTGAGTGCTGATTGGTCAGCATTCCTGCTACTGAGCGCTGATTGGTTAACATTACTGCTACTGAGCATTGATTGGTTAGCATTACTGCTACTGAGTGTTGATTTGTTAGCATTACTGCTACTGAGCGCTGATTGGTTAGCATTACTGCTACTGAGAGCTGATTGGTTAGCATTACTGCTACTGAGTGCTGATTGTTTAGCATTACTGCTACTGAGAGCTGACTGGTTGGCGAGTGGAGCAGCTCATTAGCTGTTCATGCCCACTGACGTCATGAACGTACATGAGGCACTGTTTTAAACTCCTATAACTCGAGTTTAAAAGCTCTTAAAAATATAACAGCAGTGTTAACATGTTTTATGCTGTTCTGTGTTCAGGAAATAAATGTATTCTTTTACATTAAAAATGTTTAATCATTTATAAACCATGATTTTGCTCAAATGCTCCGTCTTAACCCATTCATTTTGGACTCGCTCGGGAGCGCCCTCTAGCGTTTGAGACACCCAGAAGACATTACAGAGTGGAAATTCTCCTCTCTACAGTTCTCTTGCCACGCCAGAAGCATAACACTACACCTCCTCCTGGATGTCTCCCTTTTATAGGCAGCTCCCTCTGGTGATGGCTTAGTGCATCTCCCCTCTGCTCTGTAATCAATATGGGGGCACACTACCCCAAAAAAAAAACAAAAAACACAAAATCTGATTTCCTCCCTCAGCAATAATGCCTTAACTGTCTCTTGCAGATTGCATTGCTAATAACTGTAAAGGAGCCATGGTCAGCTGTATGGACTGGATTTTCCAGGGCATTGTGGCTGCAAGTGAGATATTTTTGCATGTTCTTTTCATGCTTATGTTAGTAGAAACAGAGAGAGAGAGATTGTTAGATGCCTAAATTGGTCTATGATCATATCTCTGTAATACAATATGAATTTATCAAAATGATAGTGTAATGGTGAATTCAATTTACAATTACTTATTAGTACAATTTACTCAATTAACTTAAAAGTAAATGAGCTGTTAAATTTAAAACATTTGAGGTAATCAGTTTCCTCAAATCATTTGAGTTGACTTAACTCATCAGCTTTTACCGTGTAGCTTAGTTTTCATATATAGATTGCATGGATTGGAGAGTGAATGGCTATTTTAAAAAGGGGAGAAAATTGTTCTGTGATATGGGCCCTATGAAGGAGAACTCCACCAATTTTTCATAATATTTGCTTAACTCGAGGTGTGAGACGTAAACTCACTCAGGGCCTCATTCTTCAGTATCTTCCTAAGTTTGTTCTTAAGTGTGTTCTTGATGAAGGTTCTAAGAAAAAGGCTACATCAGATTCATGACGTGTTCTTAAAGCGCAGAACTGTTCTCACCTTTGTGCTCCTGAGTGTGTGTAGATTCTGTTCTTACCTAAGAACAAATCCCACATAAGAGAACATTGGTGACTGACAGAATCTTTAGAAAAACTGCATAAGTGGCAAATTTCTCAAGAACGGTTGGTGAATGAGGCCTAAAGTCATTCAGAGTGGTTTGGTGTGAAATGATTCAGATGTCTTTACAGTGGTGGTGATAGGAACCAGGGGTCGCCATGACTACAACACAGATATAGACATTTTATTTACTATCCAGAACCACCAGTGAACCTACACGAGCCTTCTGAGTTTATGGAATGTTGATAATCCAGTTCCCACCATTAGTTAGATCTCCCTCTGTTACACATGAGGAAATTTTGTTATATCAATTAACAGACATGAATGGCTGTGGCATCACTTGCATGTATCCCTCCACCATGAATGCATTTAAAAAACGTTTTAAGAAAAAAATCTTCTCAAAACTGTTGTAAGCGTATTCATAACCATTTCATGTAGGAACTTTCTGTGAGGGAGCTTTTAGAGGTGGACGTCTGGTTCCTATCACCACCACTGTGAACAGTTCTGACTCGGTAAGTTTCTGTTTCACATCAAACCACTCTGAATGACCCTGTTTACGTCTTAACCATTTACCTGTGCAGAAATTTTGTACAAGTGGTGGAATTTTGTACTGTATACAAAAAAAGGTCCTTCAAGGGCTCTTTAGTAAAGAAAATGGATCTATACAGAACCATGAGCACTCAAAGGGCCCTTTGCATGATTTTAAGAGTGTACTGTAAGTTAATATGGTAATGCCAATAAAGCTACACTGAACTGAGTGTAAACGTTCCTCTTCCACAGGGAGAGGTGCGAATCCTCAAGTATCTACCGAAGTGCTTGAACGTCAATGGGGTCTGTACCACAGTTATTAGCCATTTATACATTCTGGAGAGTTTTACTAAAGTATTAACTGAACTTTTCTTGCAACAGAGATTGTCGTGGGGGTAATTGTGAATTCATATTTCCACTGCTTCAGACTCAGTGGCCACCAGAACACGACCGAGTTCCTAGGTAAAATTCTTAAACATCACACAAGAGTGGAGTTTGTTGTATTTTGTTGTTATAAACCATTCAATCTGTGGGGTCTTTCAAATATTAAGTTATTGCTGTATTGTGTTCCCTGTTTTTGGGTTTGCAAATTCCTCTACACTGTCTATATCAGGAGTCTGCAACCCAAATGTTAAGAAGAGCTATTTTGTCCTTTCAGCAAAAATCAGTCCACTATCCATTTTACCATATTCGCTGTAAATATGTCTCAGTATGTGCTGATGTACTAGTATAGGCTAACAAATGTAAACAAAAACGCAGACTTACATTTACCACTTTTATCAGACACTTTTATCCAGAGTGACTTGGAAAAGGTTCTTTGTCTATCTAGAGAAAGTATCTTTGCTAGTTACTAATAGGTTAGAGAGAAAGACAGTCCTGAGCTCAGATACTGCTAGAAACAAAAGTCCATGTTGATACAGAGAGAAAAGAAACCGAGTTAAACAGAGAACAGTACAATACAATACAGTTCAATACGTTCTCAGATTAGTGCTGTAAAAAGAGACGGTCTTCAGTCTGCATTTGAAGACCGCAAGAGACTCCAGTGGGAGTTCGTTCCACCTCCTGGGCTCCAGGACAGAGAAAAGTCTTGATGCTTGTCTTCCACGTCTTGAAGGATGGCGGGTCGAGCTGAGCTGGACTTAAAGCTCGAAGAGCTTGAGGTCCAGTTTGAGTTTTGACCATTGCCATCAGGCAGGGGGGCTTTAAATCTGATGCAGCTACAGGAAGCCAGTGAAGGGAGCTCAGCAGTGGAGTGACATGACTGAACTTAGGAAGACTGAAGACGAGCCGAGCTGCCGCATTCTGGATGAGTTGCAGAGGCTTGATGGTCAGATAGGAAGACTAGCCAAGAGCAAGTTGAAGTAGTGAAGCCTGATTTTTTCTTACATCTCCAGCAGGAAACTTTTCCAAAAGTAGAACAGTTTCTTGTAAAATGTCTCTCAACGTTTGAATTTTTCATGAGGCTGAATTCAGTTTCTCATTTGTCAGCTGGCGAATGAGAAACTGACTTCAGCTTCACAACTTTTTAGTGTTTGTCAGTTTCTCGCTGCAGATTAAACGTATCAGGAAACCAGCTGGAGTGATTATAAATGTAAATAAGTCTATTAGTCACCAAATTATCGACGTTCGTCTTAAATCTCTCTCTTTGCCGTTTCGTTATCTACTAGCTAGGCGAGACTGTTGTCTGTGTTGCTATGGTGACCAGCAGTCTGTGCTGATCTTCAGGGTTAAAGGGTGAATTAGCAGTTCTACCTTAACTCCAGAGTTTAAGTCCATTTATTGTTAAACTGTGTTGAACGATCAGCAGAGCTTTATTTTACTGTAAAGGAGGATTATTTTATTATTACCTACAAATCTGATTCTGCTGTGGAGCCACAACAGGACAGTAAAAGAGCTGCATGCAGCTTCTGAAGCCACATCTTGCCAACCCCTGGTCTATACAAATGTCTGTCATCCATCACCCTATGTTTCAAATACATAGATGACACAGCTGTCCTTGCACTTCTCAATGATAATAATGACTCTTTCTCAGCATATCAACATTCCAACGGCAACTTTTTCCACCTTAACATCATAAAAACTAAAGAACTGCTCATCGGCCCCCCTGAAACACTGGTCCACCCCCCTAGTCTCTCAATCAAAGGAGACAAGGTAGAGGAGGTTGAGTCTTTCAGATACCGTGGACATTTATAAATGTTGCCAGACATGTAAATTGAAACAGCTGTCTGTTCTATCTCCTTCTCCGTAGTATCATCGAGTCAGGTCCTCTCATATGGTACCGTCTGCTTTTTCAATATTTTCCAACAGGAATAAATTCATAAAGATAACTAATCTGGCCAGTAAACTCATCGATACCCCCCCTCAACTATCCGAGTGTGTCACCTCATCCCTGATCTGCAAGGCACTTATAATCACACATGATCCAGACCACCCACTCTACCAGTACTTTATCCACCTTCCTTCAGGACGTGCGTACAAATTACTCTTTTGTAGGAAGGTTTATTTTAGCAAGAGTACAACCATTCGGGCATTTAACAGGTGACCTTCCCATGATTTAGCATGAATTGAATGCTTATGCATGTCCTGCATTGTGTGACCCCTGTAATCGTGTTTATGTTTGTATACTATTTTGCTCTTTGTATGTTTGCTTTACAAATGCAACTGCACTGCAAAAATGGTCTCTTGTCAAGTGAAATGATCTTAAATCTAGTCTAGCCTTTTTGAGATGGTTGTGCACTTATTATAAGATCATCCAGCTTAATTCTAGATTTTTTTTTACTAGTTTTGGGTCATTTTATTAATGAAAAATGATCTCACTATAGTGACAGATAATGTTGCTGGTTCCAAGCTCATTTCTTACAACAAGCACAATTATTTTTATTTAATAACATTTTATTTAATAAAATTACTTAAAACAAGTAAAATGTCTAAAATAAATTTAATAATCTTAAATTAAGCTTAGAACAATCTCCACAGTAGAAATATTAGATTTATTCAGTATATTTAAGATCATTTTACTTGATATCGTTTTTTGCAGTGTAGCATGGAAAATAATTTTCTCCTTGAGAACAAACTATGTTTCTGTCTTCCGGGTTAATTCCGGGTTGTTAATCCGTGCTCTACAGCAGGTTCTGGAGGACATTAAGCAAAGTATTTATATTACTTCCTTGCAGGATGTCTTCTGGAAGGTCTGCTGGATAAAGCACTGCCGTACGTCAACATGCTGTCATCGCTCCTCGGAATCACAGAATCAGGTTTTCAGATGCAGTATTTCTCATTTCCTCTGGCTTTACACAAACATTCAGCAGTCTGGAACAAATTCAACATATTTGTCACTTTTTTTAAATATATTTTATTTTTTTATTATTATAAACAATACAACAGCAAACATACAAAACACACCCTCACTACCCCACTATCCCCCCATCACAGCCCAAACACCCATTAATTGTTTCTGAAAAGTAAATAAATTAAAAAAAATAAAAAGTGGGGGAGAATAAAGAAGAAAACAAAAAGTACATTCAGGGTCACTTTAGATGGTGCTGGAATGGACCCAAAACCCCCTGTGCTCTGAGTCACAGCTACGCAACCTCTCCATTGTAGTAGTATGAAGGTTCTCTGATAACCAATGTTTAAAACCCATGTATCAAACACAAGGCCTGCGGGCCAGATCAGGCACAGACACAATCCTATCCGGCCCGCAAAAGCATTTTAATTTTCTATTAATATTAGCCTGTTTCACAATGTGCTGCACTACAGTCCCCAGCATGCACTGCAACGTAATGTGCTCTGACTCTCCTACCCAACAACAAACTATGAGACAGCGGTTACACCTCAATTCTACACTATTCCACACCAGTCATATCACCAAAATGCATTTCAGCTGCAGTTCAACCAACATAAACACCCAATATCAGCTCAGTGGCTCAGAAACTGAGCCTGAATCTTAATGAACTTGCAGTAAAGAGAGGATGTCAGGTGTCTAGTTCAAGCCAATAGGTAGATTTAAAAGACTGAGCTCCTGGAGACATTTAAATTCTGAATATTTCAAGTGTCCATGTAATATTTCAGGGTCTAAAAATTAAATAAAAACATTTTTGGCCCTTTATGGTTGAGTTTGACACCCCTGGTTTAAAACATGGTGGAGAAGCTGATTTCCAATTCAAAACAATAACCTTTTTAGCCGCAACCATGCCAGCCATTAAGGCTTGTTGAACATACAGAAAGGTAGACATTGAATCAGAGAATCCACAGATCGCAGTGACAGGGTCAGGATGTAATTGTGTGCTAAGCATTTTAGAGAACCACCGAAAAAAAAAAAAACATAACCAGGAGCTCTGCAACAGAGAAAAAGACCAGAACAAGTGTCCTAGTACGGAGGTCTGGAGAGGCCATGAGCTGTTACTATAATTTTCTGGACTGTTATCTTGAGATAACAAGTTAATTATCTTGTGATCTCAAGACGACAACTTTGTTATCTTGAGATCACAAGATAAAACACCTTTGTTTTCTCAAGATAACAAGACAATTAACCAAGAACTTTGTTATCTCGGTAAAAAAATTAACTCATAATTTTAAGATAACTTTTGTTGTCTAGAGATAGCAAGATAATTAACTCATTATTTTAAGATAATCCAGAAAATTCTATCTCATGGCCTCTCCGGACTTCCGTAGTCCTAGAGATCCTTTGTCTGTTTTGTGTTTATCGAAAGTTAAAGACAATATATTTTGTCACTTTTATATACAACAATAACTTATACACTGTAGATTTATATCTTACAAACTAGGCAGCAAAAGGTATTTGGATGGTTTATTAAATATTTCAAAAATTTTGAGTTATTATGCTCTAAATTACTCTCATTACTCTTACACAGTAAAAGATAGAAAAAGAGAAAGTGTTTCCGCTAAAACTTGTCATGTGGATGATATAAGTCTCACACATTTCATGAAGCATCAGCAACACAGCAATTTCATAAATCAGTTGTATTTTATTTTTCTAATATTCTGCTGTTATATCGCTTTCATAGCTGAAAAGTCACAAAGTTTTAAAACCAATTTTACAGGTTTATTGTTAAAAATCTCAATGTAACAGACTGACAGGTGTCAAAGTAAAACAGGCATTTCATCTCCAAAATCATTTTCTCAGATGGTTCACTTGCCTTGATTATGATGATGCTGTCAGCAGCTATTTTTCACCCTGTATGTCCAGGTTATTTGCAATAATACTAAATTAGAAATTTTAGGGATTTCCTTAAAAGGAGAATTCTTTCTGTACCTTAAAGCTGCTCTGTAAGCACACCAACTTAAAAAAAAAAAGCATCTTATGCTTGTCTGTCTAGGCAAAATGATCTAACACCTTTTCTGGCAGTTGCGTCTTGTTAGGCCGTGGTTTCCTGTTCGTTTGTTCTAGTACAGTCCTAGAGCTCCGAGGAGAACAACCAGATAGAGTGAGGTGGTGGTGGTGGGATCAGAGAACGGGACAAGAGAAAAAAATTCCTCACATTAAAACTTGAACTTTAAGTTCCTTCTTCAAACTTCCACTCTGTTCATATGAAGGTGTGGTGTCGTGCTGGCTGAAGAAGGCCCTCAGGCAGATGGTGAGCTGCTATAGCCACGTAGACGAGGACTACTACACTATGCTGGGTGAGTGCTTTTATCTGGTATGAGAGAATGGTGTGATTTATCCCCGGAGCGAGAAGCTGCTACATCCCACACGCACTGGCATCTGCTCTGCAGAACAATACAGACTCATTCAATCAGACTTTCAAGCTTAAACATTTGTAGTTATCATAGAATATGGAAAAAAAACTTTTAATATAAGCAAAAACAGAGTTTTAATTTTTTTAGGAATATGGGCAATTTTACATGTCCATATAGACAAACACTTCAAAACACACCAACCAACCTAAACTCCAGCAGCACTGCTGTGTCTGATCCACTCGCACCAGCGCAACACATACTAACACACCACCACACGTCAGTGTTACTGTGGGGGTCCTGACCACTGAAGAACAGGGTAACAAAGTATGCAGAGAAACAAATGGACTACAGTCTGTAACTGTAGAACTACAGAATGATTTCACAGTTCTCACAGTTCTTGATCCTCATCTGTCTCTTTCGGCAGCAGCACAGCGACAGCAGGAATCACATCCAAGGCTAACGCATCCATGAGCTCACGCTTCCAGTTTTCCGTCTTGGAGTTATTTGATTGGCTGGTTGAGCTGTAGCTGAATGTCCTCTAAAGCCAGGCAGACTCTGTGTGATTTTAGAAATCTTGTTCTTTGGTCACTCACACTGTACATTTGAATAGATCGTGTTCGGACAAAATCTACGATTTATATACTCACACTGTACAAAAACGCTCTGTTTAAAAGAGCTGCATGTTGCCAACCCCTGGCCTAGACAATGAAAAGTAAGAATGGGGAGTGATTACAGAACACTTTCAGCCGCTCCACCAAATCACTCCTCAGTAAATCTAAATTTTCCTGCTGGACGTCAGCTGTTTCTGATGTTACACTGAATCTCTCTTTCTGCTCCTTCTTAACAGAAGACAACATGAAAAGGGAGCTGGCCTTGAACAGGCAAGGTAAACACTCTACTTAAGCTTCTTTAGTTTTCTTTAGTACAGAAAATGGTTCTATATAGCCCAAAAAAGGTTCTTCTATTGTTACAGGCCAGACAACATAACAATAGCAGAACACTTTTTGGTGCTACATAGAAAAGTTTACAAACTGTTTCAATACAGAACCAGGGTTCTTTGAGTATGCATGGTTCAAAGTAGAACCATTGCCCTTACTAAAGAACCCTTGAAGAACCATCTTTTTTAAGAGCGTAGCTCTTAAAAAAAATGGCATCTTGGTGAATGAAATTATCATAAATCTAGTCAATATATCAAATGTTATTTAATTCATTTAAAGATTATTCCTAGACTTTGTTACTTAAGTAATTTTATTAAGTAAAATTATCACACTATGTATGCAGATAACGTTGCTTCTTTTAAGAAATGTTCTTGAAACCAGCAAAATTACCTGCCTGTATAGTGAGATAATGTTATTTAATAAAATTACCAAAACAAGTGCAAAATGTCTAGAAATAAGTTAACTAATAAGGTACAATACAATAAGGTTACAGTGTATATTCCATATAGGACCATTGTGTGATTAAACGCTTCTCTGCATGGTGAAGTGGTTCTTCAGACTGATGGAGAATGTGTTGTATATGATCCTATAAAGCACCAAAAAGGGTTCTGCTATTGTGATGATGTCAAACTGGTAACAGTAGAAGAACCTTATTTGGTGCTACAAAGAGCTATTTTTTAAAAAGGATCTATATAGAACCATTTACAACATATTCTCCATCAATCTGAAATGTGATTTCACCATGCAAAGAACCATTTAAGCATGAAATGGTTCTCCACTTTTGGTTGTAAATTGCCATGTTATTAAAGAAAGAACCGTCTTTTTTAAGAGTGTATCTTTGACTGCTGAGAAAGCACTTGTTCTGTCGGTGACAGTATTTTTTTTCTTTTTACCTGTGCTCCAGAGTACTTCACCTGCCATGATGTGCTGTTTCAAGATAAGAAGTGCTTCCAGCTGTACTCACGGCTTTTTGGTAAAATAATCCCCAGTGATATGTATATCTTTTAGGACATAAATAAAAATTAGGCTTCATATGACTGTTTACTCTTCTTTTTCATGAAGGTTCTACCCCAGCCATGCTAACCCAGACAAAAGGTGGGTAGATTTTGAATATTTAAAGGTGGTATACAAGCATTTTACAGTTGGATAGACAGATTTTTCAGGGTTTGTTCCCCAGATTTTAATCCAGTAAGAAAAGCAGTTTTTAAAAGATCACCATCAGACTAAGTGGTGATTTGTACTCAATATAGGAACGTCCCAGACTGATTAAGCCGCTTCACAGTTTATGACAAAAATTATTAAACTATATCAGTTTATACACTGCAAAAAAATGGTCTCTTGTCAAGTGAAATGATCTTAAATCTAGTTAGTATGTCTAATATTTCTTACTTTGAGATGGTTGTGCACTAATTATAAGATTATCTAGCACATTTCCAGAATGCTTGACTTTTTTAGGTCATTTTATTAAGTATAATTATCTCACTGTATTGGCAGATAATTGTGCTGGTTTTAAGCTCATTTCGTACAACAAACACAATTATCTGCCAACACAGTGAGATAATTTTACTTAACAAAATTACTTAAAACAAGTAAGAAATGTCTAGAAATAAGTTAAACAATCTACATTAAACTTAACACAATCTCAACAGGAGAAATTTTAGATTTTTAGCCCAGATTTAATCTAATTTTACAAGCCCCATTTCCAAAAAAGTTGGGATGCTGTGCAAAATGTAAATAAAAACAAAATTTAATGATGTGCAAATTATTTAAACCCTATATTTCATTGAAAATACTACAAAGACAACAAATCAAATGTTGAAACTGAGAAATTTTATTGTTTTTTGAAACATATATGCACATTTTGAATTTGATGCCAGCAACACATTCCAAATCAGGTGGGACAGGGCCTGTTTACCACTGTGTTTCATCACCTTTTGTTTTAACAACACTCTGTAAGCGTTTAGGAACTGAGGAGACACTGCTGTAGTTTAGGAAGTGAAATGTTTTCCTGCTCTTGTTTGATACAGGATTTCAGCTGCTCATCAGTTCAGGGTCTCTTTTGTCATATTTTTCATTTCATAATGCGCCAAATGTTTTCAGTAGTGACAGGTCTGGACTGCAGGCAGGTCAGTTTAGCACCTGGACTCTTTTAATACGGAGCAATGCTGCTGTAATACATGCAGAATGTGGTTTTACATTGTCTTGCTGAAATAATCAAGGCCTTCCCTGAAAAAGACATCGTCTGGATGGCAGCATATGTCGCCAAAACATGTATATATCATTCAGCATTAATGGTGCCTTCACAGATGAGCACGTCACTCATGCCATGTGAACTAATGCCCCCTATACCATCATGAATACTGGCTTTTGAACTGTGCACTGATAACAAGCTGAGTGGTCTTTAGCCCGGAGGATGCAGTGTCCATGATTTCCGAAAAGAATTTCAAATGTTGATTCGTCAGACCACAGGACACTTTTCCATTACAGTTCAGTCCATTTTAAATAAGATCGGGCCCAGAGAAGGTGGCAGTGTTTCTGGATCCTGTTTATGTACAGTTTCTTCTTTGTGTTTTAGAGTTTTAACTTGCATTTGTGGATGCATTGATGAACTGTTTTCACAGACAGTGTTTTTCAGAAGTGTTTCTGAGCCCATGCAGTGATTTCCACTATAGAATCATGTCTGTTTTTCATGCAGTGCTGCCTGAGAGCTCAAAGATCACGGCCAGCTAATACTGGTTTTTGGCCTTGTCCCTTACATACAGAGATTTCTCCAGATTCTCTGAATCTTTTAATGATATTATGTACTGTAGATGATGAAAAGTGAAAGTTCTTTACTATTTTAAGTTGAGAAACGTTATTCTTGAACTGTTGCACTATTTGATCGTGCAGTCTTTCACAGAGTGGTGAACCCCTCCTCATCCTCATTCTTTACCTTTATCTTTATATTTCTTAAAATAATAAAATAATAATTATTTGCATTATTTCTCAAAACAAGTAAAATGATCTGCCAGTGGAATAAGACACTTTCACTGGATAAAATGGCTTTAAACAAGTAAAAAAGTCTAGAAATAAGTTCAATAATCATATTCTTACAACAGTCTCACAATGAGAAATATTAGATAGATTGACTAGATTTAAGATGATTTCACTTGCTAAGAGATAAACTAAATAACTAAAGACTGCATTTGGCCTTTTTACACAGTATTTGACCAGTTTTACTGTTATGCTAAATCGCACCATAGTGAGATGCTATGACTTCAGTTTGTCAGAGATCTGATATAGTTGAGAAAGTTCACAATCAGAACAAAAGGAAGATGTAAAATACTACTAAAGGACGAGATAATTGTACTGGAGAGTTAAGCTACTGAGCCACCGTTCTGTTTGAGCCAGAGCTAAACTTAAACTTAGCTTGCTAACCTATGCTAATCCTGCTTTTTGGTTAGCCCAAGTCTGGCACCCATAGTCTAGGGTTCATATCTGTTTTGTATTTGCTTATTATTCTGATTAGTCCATGATCATCTGTCCTGGACCTCTTCATCTTCATAAACAACATGGTGTTAGCAACAGCAGCATGCTAGGAAAGCGTAGCCTAGCAAAGCCACCGGAATGAAGCCTGTAGCTTTTATAGATACAGTATATCAGGTTGATAGATAAAAGGTGTTCAGCTGTGGAGAGTAAAGCTGAGGAATAGCTTAACTGAGCTGGTTCGATGCTGAACTGCAGTCACAGTAAGCTTGAGCTAAAGGCAAAGTTGCCTGCTAGCCTACAAATCCGCCTTAAATTCAGATGGTCAGATTTTCACTGTTTCAGTGTTGCGTTCACTATTTATGTCCATGTTGATCTCTTCCAGGCCTCTTCGTCTGCTTCATTAATGAGGCGGTGTTAGCGACAGTCGCATGCTGAAGTAGCCGAGGAGGAAAACGGGCCTGACGAAGACTCTCCTGCAGAACGGACCCTTCAGGACAAACAAACACCTAAACAAATCTGACATGATTTTCTTTTTAAAATATCCAACAGATTATGATGAAAAATTTACAGCCAGTTGGTCATTTAATATCTGAATATTTGCACAGTGGAAGCTTATTAGCGTTAGACAGTTAGCATCACGCTTACTGCTTGTCTAAATCATCATACTCATCTCAAACTTTGTAAGTTAAAGGGGAACTCCACCAAATTTGCAAAATTACTTACCAATTCAATGGTTTAGATGTAAACAACAACAAAAAAAAGTGGTTTGGTGTGAAATGCGCCTTTCCAGAGAAATTTACAGAGTCAGAATTGTTCACCATTATAGTACTTGGAACCAGACGTCCAAAGCATTTAATGTCCCTGAAAGCTACATCCCGTTAAGTTACACAAAATGGTTATGAATGCGTTGCTTGATACCTGAGGCACTGTTTTGTGATAATTTTGCTGTAACGTTTTGGCCTAAAACTCATTTTTAGTGTAGAGTTTTTTCTCCAGGATTATTTCCTGCTTCCAGTTTTCTTCAGCAGCCGGCATTTGAATCCACTTTGCATTTTTTTTTACTGGAGTCGTTTTAATTTAGTTTGTAGAGTCGTTCAACATGGGTACCTATTTTTGTGCAGCTTCAAAACAATTAGCCACAACTTCAGGATTTCTGGTGTCGGCAGCTGAAAAAATGCACCGTACTGTAGTTTTCCCCCGTTTATTTCTGGATCCTGGCTCAGTGCAGTTCACCATCACTCTGAACAATTAACCAGCAAGGTGCCACTGTGGTCAGTCGCAGCTCCTCTGATGAGTAACGTTACTTTTTGCTGACACCGTGTGACACAACAAGGCCAACCCAAACAACACTAAATGCACTCCACACCCTACCCCCCCCAAAATCCCTGATAGCAAGAGGGCAGTTGACCACTGTCGGCCCGCTAACGGCAAAGCTGGTGGTCCTCTGCCGTTTTGGTGGCCGTTTTCTGGGCAGCCCACCGGTGTTTAAGCAGAATATTAGACAAAGTTCCACTTATCATCACTCATTTTTCGCTCACAGCTCAGTTTACTGATTTTTCCTTACATCCTTCATTCGTTATTCTTAGTAAATTAGTTTAGTAAGTAATTTTAATCCAGCTCAGTGTCAGTAACAGCATTTTCTATAAAATCATTTTATAGCAGGCCTAGTCATTATTTGTCTCTCTCAGTTGTTTGTAATAATTGTCTAAGTTTATTTTCTAAAATAAAAGTCTGTGTGTGTTTAAAATCTGTTTGAGGAGATTAAAAACTAGTTAAAGTTTGTATGCAGGACAGTAATCTGGGTGGTCCGAGGGTGGACCAGCAGTGGCAAACAGTTAGCAAAGTGCCGACCTTATCAAGCCAGCGGACCGATATGTGCTGCTATCTGGGATGACATCCATCCGCAGGGTGGAGAGGTACATGAAGGGCGTTGTAAGGAAAAATAGTACCCAAAGGAAGTATTTAGCAGTATTTTACCATTATCAGCGTGACGTATAAAAACATAGACACATGTAAGTTCACTGGTCGTTTTGAATTGCAGATAAAATGGTAATATTTGTAATATAGACATACAGACGTCTGGTTCCTATCACTACAATGGTGAACAATTCTGACTCTAGAAAGGCGCATTTCACACCAAACCACTCTGAATGATTTTGTTTACATTCAAAAAATTAAATGATTAATTAATTTTGCAAAGTTTCCCTTTAAGTAATCTCTAATAGGCTATAAGTTTCTGACACTGTATGACGCATTTTGTAAAGTGCATGTACTCTTTTTTATGCGATCTGTTAGCAGCCATGCAGACGCACTTCAGTCTTGTGATTCTTAATACAAAATAAAAGTGCACCATGATTATCCTGTAAAATATATCTGACTTTGAATCATGCTTTTCCAGTTAAAGACATCACAATGAACACAGTAATAATGGTGATACAGTGCGCTTCATGGAAAGCAAAGAATAATAAAATAGACTTTCTCTAAAACCGTCCCGCAAACATTTACACTGGTCCACACGTCTGTCCGCTGGGAGACCCGTCGGCGTGTGTCTCGTTACAGTCTCCTCCGGTTCCAGTCTTTATCCTTTACCGCCACTGTCAGCCAGTACTGTACCCAAAATGATCCCTAAGTGCAGTAGATCTAGGTTTACGAGTCAGGTACACTCGGCTTTCGAAAGTAAGTCTGTGTTTTCGTTTATATTATATTTTTTTGTCTATACTGGCACATCAGCACACACTGAGACATATTTATCAGCACACACTGAGACATATTTACAGCCATGAGGGTAAAACAGACAAAGTGTTGTGGCTCCCAAAGTGGTTTCATTTTTGTTGAAAGGACAAAATGACTCTTCTTAATATTTCGGTTGCGACCCCTGAGTTAAGCCTACTAGTAAGGGGCGATCAGCGTGTGACCGTTTCCTCGAACTGTCCACGGCTCAGTCATTACTGCACAGTCGTCACCAGCCCAGTTAACGGCCACGTTCTGTGGTTCAGATTTTGCGGACTGACTGAAGCCTGTAGCGAAATTGTAGCAACAATTTTCGCTATAGCTACACAAAATTAATAGGTGCTAAAGCTGTTAGCTACATTTCATAAAACAGTAGCGGCTACAGCTACTAGCTACAAAAAGTAGCGCGCTACATAGCCCTGTATATTTGCAGCTTTTCAATTGTAAGTTTCTTTCTGGCTCATGGTTAAATGCAGTGTCTTGTTCACACTGACAGTTGGGCTTGTTTGGTGTGTCAGGTGGAGATTCATCCACATTCTGACAGTCACGCTTTGAAAAGTAGCTAAAAAGTAGCCACTACTTTTTCTGGAAAAGTAGATCAATTGTAGCTGCTACAAATTTTGGGAAAGTAGCTACAAAGTAGCTTTTTCAGTAGCTATCCCAACCCCGGGTGCTAGAGATCTAGAAGCATGAGCACATTAGGAGAACTGAAAAATGTCTAGTGCAGGGAGGCACGACTCCTGTCCCGGAGGTCCGGCATCCAGTTTGGTGATTTACCTTGTTAAAACACAACTGATTCAACTCATCTTAATTGCCAGGTTTAGTTGGTGTGTTTGAATAGGGGAACTACCAAACTGTGCTGGACACCAGCCCTCCAGGACAGGAGTTGTGCACCCCTGCTCTAGCAAAATAGCAGATTTTTAATGGCAACTGCTTTTTTTTTGTAATCTATGGCCATGAAAAGAAACATTGTTATGTAAAAAGTGTTAGAAGCTAAATTATTTTTTATTTGTTTGTTTTTATTTTAAGTTCTAAGAGTTGAATAGAAATGAACGAGATTATTTGGCCATGATGGCTTTGAAGGCGTTTGTTATTTGTCTTGTTAAAGACCTTCTGTTTATGTATTGAAGTTCAGTAACATAGCTGCATGTTTGTGGACACCTTCGTCAACTACTTAACCCCGCCCCCCAGACAAATTCCCATGGTGCCACCTATTACTTGATACCACCCCCGCTGCCCCAACCTACCACCCACTGAGGGTGTCTGTCTACCCCAAGCCGCCATCCTGCCCCCATTGTCCTCTTTTTTGACAACCAAAATATGGTCACCCTAGTGTTCTAGAACCATTGTCTTTGCTAAAGAACCATTGAAGAACCATCTTTTGTTAAGAGTGTAGGACTTATAACACGCGTTTGTCAACCAGACAGAAAGTGAAAATAACTGACTTTCAGTCACGCTGCTGAACCGCTTCCTTTTTTCCGAATAACTCCAGGTGGCGTCTTTCTCTCTGTCTGTCTCATCTAGTCAGAGATTTCCTCTTTTTATAGTGTTCCAGACAGGTTCCACTTTCACACTTTCCACAGTCTTCTTCTGGCACTAGCACCACAATTACTTTTTTTTTAAATTTTATTTCTTACAGACTCTGTTGATGCTGAAAATTTGCTTCAACGTGACTTTGACCAGGAATTTTACCTTAAAATACAGATTACACATGTAGAAAAGACACGGCCACTGTAACTGTCACAGACGGTACACCCACTCAATAGAACGGTCACCAAAGACATGCCCACTCAACCAAGGTATGCATCAGGACACGCCCACTTCCTGCTGATGTGTATTTAAGAAGCTGATGGAGGGTCATAGCTGGAGCTGATCTGGCTATTTGACCGCAGGTATGTCCTCTCTGTGAGCATTTCAGGCTTTTCATTAACATAATAATAAAGAAAAGCACTACAGATAATAGAGTTAACCTTATAACTTAACCTTGTTTACCTTTAGCTCTATAACTCTACCTTAAAGACATGATTCTTTACACTGTCTTCTCAGAGATATGAATTACATTTTTATGTGTGTAGCTTATTTAATCTATACTTTACAAGATTAGACATAGGAGAGAATGTAGATCAGCGTATTATGTAGTGTATAAGCAAGCTTACAGTTTTGACAGACTCCTTTCAGCACCTGTACTCTGTTTTTCAGTCGACTGTAAGCTTCTGTATTGGAATGTGTTCCACTCGGGCCGCCGTTCTGCTGCTGCTCTTTGGTAACAGATTCTCTTTTACAGATTATTTGCATAGATACACTTACAAATCCCTAAAGATCTGACTGTCTGTTTAATGTGATGAGCCTCTTCACAATAATGTGAAAATGAAAGTTGTTTTTGTTATGAAATGAAAGAGAAACAGAACAAAGACAGTGAACTGAGCTGTTTACACAGAGGCGCTTCATGCGTCCCAGGCTGATGGGATTTTTCTATCTGACGGTGAAAAGGCAGAGTGTAAATGGAGCCACTTCAGACTGATTGTTGTCTAACTGCTCAGACACTTCAGGAGATGGTTTAATACGAGATGCCAAATACGACAAAAGTTGGGCAAGGAAGCACGAGATGGAATGAACCTCAGATTCTGTTTACACTAGGTATTAACATCCATCTCAGTTGATCTGATCATAAGTGGACAGTGAGACATATATCAATTTACACCTGGCATTTCCATGGATTTCAAATGTTTACAACTAACAGCTATATGCAAACATTGAAGAACCCCTGGCCAAATTATATAATTTGTTGATTTTTGTGAAAAGAAGTAAACATAACATCTGCAGCACTGTAAAAAATATAATTTTTCTGCTAATTTTAATGCACATTTACTTTTTATATACTTAATTTTTAGAATGGAAAAAAATCTTAGAATCGTTAGGGACGGTTAGGCAGGTCAAAAAGTGTCTATTCTACAGTATAATAAATTCTCTGACTCTTCAAAACTTGTACTAACACTCAACAACTTTGGGCTTCTCCAAGCAGCTGGCTAAAGATCTGAAAATGAAGCTGATTGATGGCAAGATGGGGAAGTCAAGGCAAGATCTGGAAGGCCAAAACAGCTCTCAGATAGCACTGCTCGTATGCTGGACAGAAAGGCAAAGCAAAGCCCCCATATGACCCAACACAATAACAGTGCACAAAGGCATTTCATTTACATTTTTTGCCCTTTGCCTCTAGAAAGAAATATATTCTCTCCCTGACCTTTCAGTTGTTCACTTGTGCCAATATTCTGTTGATATTTTATGTTCACTGATATATATCATGTTTCAGGTGTAGGTACACAAACATTACTATGTTGAAAATTTCCCAAACATGCTAAGTTGAGTTTTGATTTAGACAGGGGTGGCGCCACAACTCCAAAAATGGTGGGGCAGAACATATTGTTTCAAAAAAAAAAAGCTGAGTGACAATATGCAGTTAAGCCACTGACTAAAATTGCCTTTCTTTATAAACCTATTCAGAGGTGGGTAGTAACTAGTTACACTTGCTCAAGTTCATGTATTTAACTAAAATATTCATGGATGTTTACTTTCCTGAGCATCTTTTAAATCTTGATACTTTTACTTCTACTAAAGTATATGAGGGAGTAATGGAATCTTTTTACTCCATTACAATTTAGCCATTTGTATTTAGATACTAATTCCATTTTTGGTTTAATTTCAAAATATTTTGATGGTGGCAATATTTATACTGCTTTGTGATTGGTTACATCTCTGACTTTCGAGCTTTTTATTTTAGACCAAAAAAATCCTAAAAAGAGAAGAACAGAGCTGCACAGTCATCAGTTCCTATGCTGATAAATGCTGGATGTACCAGTTCCACTGCAGTACTAAAGACTTTCCGACCTGCTTCTTTTGTATTTCTATTCAAGGTGTTTTACCTGTGCAGTTATTTTATGCAGGTATCAATACTTGAGTACTGATTTAGGCTCCTCTCCCCACCTCTGAACCAGATCATGAACAGTGTCTGTGTTAGTTTTGATGCTGCTTCAGTAGCTGCAGCCTCAGACAGCAGTATTTGTTAGCTAACATCTCTGAAGAACATCAGGCTGTTTTCATACCTACTTCATTTTCTACAGACCCACCACGGTTTGTTTTTTGTGATATTATATCTCTTCCTTTTGGTTCGGATGATGGACTGCAAGGGCTAAAGTGGGCTGAATTACACACATGTGTTTGTTTATTGATCAGAAGTTTTGCGAGGATGCAAGCACTGTTACTCTCACATTCGCCACCAGGAAAACAGAAAAACAGAACATAGAGATGTTTATCATCTTTGTGAATACCAGTTTAAATTTAACTGATCAGGTCGCTGATGCCGGACCAAAAATTTGCTCCACAATCCATAATCAAACACATATTATTTTATTGCTGGTCTCTCATTATTTACAGCAGCTTTCGGTGCAGGACTGTTATGAGTGTCTGTAAAGAGTCACATAATAAAGCAGCAGATTGTGCAGACATTACAACAAAAACGAGCACTGGGGAAAAAAGTGCTCTGGTGTTAAATTCCCTTGTGAATTAGTGTGGTTCAGTTGTTTGGTGCTGTCTGAATTCAGTCGGAGTGGCATGTCAAATCCGAATTAAAGAAAAAGTTCGACAGGTCCGCGCCATCCACGGCAGCCCTAAAAGCGGCTCCTGAAATGGAGATTCTGATTGGCTCTGCCGCTCAGTTTTATGCTGTATGTTCATGCTGGTCAGCGCGTCATGCAGTTTAGAGAAAACAGTTTTTTTTATGTTGCGTTCTGAGCTCAAAAAGTCACGGGGCGTCGCCACAGTACTTTGAAAAGTGGTGGGGCAAATGCTCGCTCGCCGCCGTGGTTCCAGTGGCCCTGGTTTTAGGTGTTCTTTCGTTACTGTCACATCAGGACCTTCACACTACAGATGTACTGACCACCTTTGAAAATGGCTGGATAGATCGGTGCATCTCCGAGATGCATAGGACCCCATTCACATATCAACTTACTGCTGTTTGTCCACGTATGATAAGATCAGCCAGGACGCATGTTGATGCCAGGCTGCATTTACATTCTGCCTTTTTATAATCAGATAGCAATCGTCAACCAAAATCAGTCACACAAATTAATGACTTACTTAATGGTGGAAAATGTGGAGCAATTGTCATCCTTCATTTAGTTTTTCTCCTCTCACAATCTCATCTTTTACTCTTCCTCTTTAGCAGTGATCTGTATTCCTGGTGAATCTGTTAAGTTCCCAGTGTTCTTTACAGAAGTATCTGGTAAGATCTGTGTGCTCTTTATACGGGTTCTAGAGCCCCTGGAAGCAGCTTTCCATTTAGACAACATGGTAGAACTTTATACAGAACCTAGGACTGATCCAGTTGGTTCTTTCATGTATTAACGCGACAGTTTAGCAGAAAAAACAAAGGTTTTTTTTATCCCAAATGTAGATGATCAGCCAAGACATTCGGAGCTTCTTCTGCTTTACACTGGAGCTACGAGGCTAATGTAGCTAACAAGTAATGGATGCACATAACCACCAATTATCATTGTGCTAAATGCATGTCTAAATCATCTAAACCACCTATTTAAACCTGATGAAAGTGCATCACATAGCAGCCATCCTGAAACCTGGGTTTGATCCAAACTTTAGTCCATGTTTTTAGGTAACAGTGAGTCATACAGTCTCAGAATCCATACAATCAACACTATTAGAGATACTGAATAACTACACACACTTTGAGGTAGTTTGTATGAAGCAAACTACTGCTTTAAAGACTCCCATGAAAGGGTGCTTGTGGTCATACAGTGCCCTGTTCTTATTCTACTGAGGACTTTTGTATAAGCAGCTTAATGCAGCCGGTGAGAACACAGAAAAGGCCCGAGGGGTTTGCTTCCATTTTTAGGAAATGACTGCTGTATGTGTCTCTTTTGACAGACTGTATTGAGAGGCAGTGCTCTGAGAAGATAGATGCCTGCCAGGAACGCTATGGAGAGGCTCTGACAGGCCCACTGAGAGGTACACTACACCACAGCTGACATGTTAAGGGCACCATTCTACCTAGTAACTTTAAACTGCGGTTCCACAGTATTCCTGTCTCAGATATTTACAGTGGTCATGTTCTAATCTGTTTAAACCCAGTGTATCCATTGAGATAGCACTAAGCTAAATATCTACAAAAGGCGTCATTTTTAATGCTGTTTTTGATCACTGTTAAAGTTGAGAGAGTTTAATTTGTTTTCAAAATTTGTGTTTCCACTGAAATACAAAAAGTTTTAGTCAGTAGCCTTATTTTAGCCACACCCCTGTACTTTAGAGCAGGAAGTGAGGCTGCATCCCTGTCCCTCATGTCCACATGGTGAGCAGTTAGATCACATTGTTTTGAAGTAAATGTGTCCCAAAGTCTGAAAATCAGTGTGGAACATTAAGAATCGCCATATTTTCTGCAGTTCAGCACTTTTTAGTGTTTTAATGTAAAATATGATGATTTTCTGTGTGAACAGCTGTTCAAAGCTGTGTTTGCTGCTCATTAACTGCTGAGTTTCTGAGCTCAAAATGAGCTAAAATTGTCACTGAAACAGTCACTACTGAAACATCTGGTACAGTTTGGTAGAGTTATGGTTGTTTTGGTAGAGACTAAAAGGAATGTTCAATCATTAGTTTTAATAAAATGATCATAATTAAGGTTTAGAGTCACTCGGAGCAAAAGGATTTTAGTCTAAAGTCCAAGATCAGTTAAAAGTCTAAAATGTGTTTCAGCTCTGACTCTGAACCAGTTCAGCAGAATCATCCATATAGATTATTGTATTTTTTTCCATTTATATTGTCTGCGTGACTGTGTAATTTAAAGCAGTGCAGGCTGAAGCAGTCTTTGTAACAGGTGGGGCTGAACTGCTGTAGGACGAATAGGTGGATGTATGTAAATGAATTGTTTTTTGTGACATCACAAAAACAGTTGAAAATGGGCTCTTTTGCAGCTTAATATGTATTGTGGAGTGAACAAACTTTAAATTTGTTTTCAAACTACATTTACATGTACACTTACACTTTCAAAAGTGAGGAAAATTAGTTTTTTCATGATATGAGCCCTTTAAATAGATCCATCACATCCTTCCTCTTCCTCAGCAGTAGTGTCTTCACTGTCTCTTGCAGGTTGCATAGCTAAAAACTGTAAAGGAGCCACGATCAGCTGTTTGGACTGGATTGTCCAGGGCATTCTGGCTGCAAGTGAGATATTTCTGCATGTTCTCTGCATGAGTGTGTGTGTGTGTGTGTGTGTGTGAGAGAGAGAGAGAAAGAAGGACAGAGAGAGACTATTAGGTGCATAATTATGTATGGTTTACATTTTTATGAAATGAGAAACATAGAAAATTATAATTATGTGGTTTTCAGTCAAACAATCCTCAATGATCTTTTTTGCCTGATTAAAAGGCTGATATATGCTGTCCATCAAAATTTGGGGGTACCTACCTTCAAATAGGTCTCAGGCACTTAAGCAGATTGATTAAAATGTAATACCTATCCTCAAATACACATAAAACAGTAAAGAAGTAACAAGAATTTCTTGCGGTCAAAAAGATTTGTGGACACGATTTCTTCTCACTGCACTGAAGCCTTTGTAGATTTGTTCAGTTCCATCAGCAGCACCTGATTTAAGTACTGATCAGATAAATCGGGTATTGGATGGTCCCTGTAAACTCAGGACTTCCTTCAGGAGATGGCAGGAAATGAGCAAACACATTAACCTCCACTACTGATTGTAATAACATTACAATTTATTATAATATTAGTGGGTTTTTTTTTTTTGAGAAAAATAAATGCAAGATTTACTTAAATTCCACTGATTTTTCAAAACTTCTGCATAATCTGATGGTTGAGACAATGGATAGCAAAGTCATTCAGAATGGTTTCATGCAAAAAGCTGAACTCTAGAGAGACTGATTTAGATTTCCTTCTGATGTTTAGGGCCAAATGGAAAAATCTAATTACTTTGGGGGTTATTTTGCCTCACAGCACACTGCATATTAAGTATCCCTCCATCATGAATGGATTTTATGGCCACTTCCCAAAACCTTTGTAAAACAGTGTCTCAGAATTCATAACCATTTCATGTAGTAACTTTCTGTGAGGGAGCTTTTAGAGGTGGACGTCTGGTTCCTATCACCACCACTGTGAACGATTCTGACTCAGTAAGTTTCTCTAGAACCGAGCGTTTCACACCAAACCACTCTGAACGACTCTGATTACATAATAATATAGTAATGCCAATAAAGCTACTCTGAACAGAACTCAATATAAACATTCCTCTTCCACAGGGAAAAATGAGAATCCGCTAGGATCTATCGAAGCTCTTGAACATCTAGTTGGTCTGTACCACAGTTATTACCAATTTGTACCAATCTGATGATCTTTATTGTCGGACTAAAGTGTTAACTGGACTTTCCTTCCAACAGAGGCTGTCATTGAGAACGCTGTAGATTCATATTTCCATTGCTTCAGACACAGTGCCCACCACAATGTAACAGAGTTCTCAGGTAAAATCATTACACATCACACAAGCGCCAGGGTTTGTTGCATTTTGTTGTTATTTTGTTGTCATTATATTTCATTATGTTCCCTGTTTTTGGGTTGCAAACTCCAGATCGTTAACGCCAGGGGCAGTCTTTGCATTAGGCATTTAGGCAAAGCTAGGCAGCTGCCCAATGATAATAGAAATTAGATATACTATATGTTTTTATTAACCTATTCCAAAATATATAAACACAATTTTGATTGTAGTGGGTATTTTCACTCATTTGAATCCAGCCCCACCCTCTGTTATTGGTTATGATCTACTATTCCATGTACAGCAGAGAAACGTAAAAAGATTAGTCGCTACGCTACAATGCTAGCATTAGTATGAGTATAGATAGCTCTGGTTGGGCTAATTACTTAAAAATGTTAGGGCCAGGGTGAGGGTCAGGATTAGGTTTTGGGTTGAGGTTAAGGTTAGGATTAGAATTAGGGCCAGGGTGAGGGTTAGGTTTTGGCTAAGGTAGTGTAAGGTTAGGTTTTGTGGAACGGAAGTAACATATTAAGTTTACTTCATGTAACGTATTAACAACACATCTACTTAATGCAAGTTATGTATAAACAGAACATCTACAAGATATTTACTTCAGTGTATTCAGTTACTTCACTACTGACACTCAAAGGTCGTAGAAGGTTGTACCACTCAGGAGCCCAGAGCCTGAAGTAACATAGAAAATCTAGGGGGAGCCATTCTTGTGTTTTGCCCAGAGCCCCTGGTTAATCCATGATGTACAGCAGGTTCTGCATATCTGTCACTAAGTGTTTGTATTGTTTCCTTGCAGCATGTATTCTGGAAGATCTGCTGGATAAAGCCATGCCGTACATCAACAGGCTGTCGTCGCTCCTCGGGATCGGAAAACCAGGTTTTCAGCTCCAGTGCTTCTTGTTTTCTTTGGTTTTATAGAGTCAACGTTTGGGAATTACTTTCATATATTTTGTTACTTTATATTAAATAATAACTTATACACTGTAAATTTTAATCTTACTAACTAGACAGCAAAGGGTATTTGGATGTTTTATTAAATATTCCAAGGATTTTGAGTTATTATACTGTAAATTATATACTGTAAGGATCTAACTCTGCAAGTAAAAAGGTGCCTCTGCTAAAACTCATCACATGGATGACATCATTATCACACATCCCAGTCGTAGTTCAGTTGTATTTTGATCTTCTAATATTCTGCTATTATATTGTTTTCATGGCAGAAAAGTCACAAAGTGACTTTCACTTTTGCAGATTTGAATCAAAAAACTCCTCCCAATACAGCCCAAACTCCTCCCATTACAACCAAAACTCCTCCCAATACAGCCCAAACTCCTCCCATTACAACCAAAACTCCTCCCAATACAGCCAAAACTCCTCCCATTACAACCAAAACTCCTCCCAATACAGCCAAAACTCCTCCCATTACAACCAAAAACTCCTCCCAATACAGCCAAAACTCCTCCCATTACAACCAAAACTCCTCCCAATACAACCAAAACGCCTCCCATTACAACCAAAACACCTCCCATTACAACCAAAACTCCTCCCAATACAACCAAAACTCCTCCCAATACAACCAAAACTCCTCCCATTACAACCAAAACTCCTCCCAATACAGCCAAAACGCCTCCCATTACAACCAAAACACCTCCCATTACAACCAAAACTCCTCCCAATACAACCAAAACTCCTCCCATTACAACCAAAACTCCTCCCAATACAGCCAAAACGCCTCCCATTACAACCAAAACTCCTAAAAGTCACATTTACAGGTTTATTATCAATAATTTCCCTTTGGCAAAATGAATATTGATGCAAAATATTTCGACTGCACTGCAAAAAATGTTAAGTGAAATGATCTTAATTCTAGTCGATATTTTTAATATTTCTTATTTTGAGGTTGTGCTTCTATTATAAGATTATTTCGTTTATTTCTAGACATTTTTGCTTGTTTTAAGTGATTTACAACAAAGTAAGTTTTAAGTAAACTTACAACAATCTCAACAGGAGAAATATTGAATATATCGACTCAATTTAAGATCTTTTTAGTTGACAAGATACCATTTTTTGCAGTGTGCAACCAGTAGATGCAAATTCCCTCCCCGTAACAGACTGACAGGTGATCCATGTCAAAGTAAAACAGGCATTCCATCCCGGAAATCAGATTTTCCCAGCTGTTTTCTCAGATAGTCCACTTGTGTCGATTACAATGATTACTTAAGCAGGTATTTTTTACCCTTGTAAGTTCAGGTTATTTATAATAAGGCATTAGAAATATTAACTATTGAACTTTAAGTTCCTTCTTCAAACTTACACTCTGTTCATATGAAGGTGTGGTGTCATGCTGGCTGAAGAAGGCCCTCAGGCCGATGGTGAGCTGCTATAGCCACGTAGACGAGGACTACCACACTATGCTGGGTGAGTGCTTTTATCTGCACTTCATTCCATGAGTGTCATTTCAATCCACAGCATTCAGTACAATGTTCAAGGGACAATCTGTGAATAAATGTTTCTCAAACTTAAAAGTTTGTATAAAAGCTAAATTTTATTTGTATATTTTTATTTGTATTTTTGGGGCTATTTTACTTCTCCATATAGACAACCAAGTTCTAGATAAATAAAAAAATAAATGTCATTTTAAACATTTCCCTGGCTTAAACATGTATCCAGAGAATTGCACAGCTTTGGAGTAGTGGTGCATGATGCTGGCTTTTCTAGAGTCCACTCAGACCATGTTTACCTGCTCATTTCCTGGTCTGTATCTGGACTGTATCCTGATAAGATTTTCAGACTTTCAGTCAGTCAGACCACAGTTAGTTGGAATGAAATCTGCTCATTATGTGGCAACCAATTACCATCTGTCTATAAATTCAGCCTCTTCCTGTGTTACACTCTTAAAAAAGATGGTACTTTGAAGGTTCTTTTGTAAAGACAATGGTTCTATATAGAGCCATTATAGAACTATAGATCTATATAGAACACTCAAAGAGCCATTTGCATGATTTAAGTAGTTCTCTGCATGGTGGAGGGGTTCTTCAGATTGCTGGAGAATATGTGGTATATGGTTCTATATAGGACCTTTTTGGAAAAGATTCTACATAACACCAAAAGGGTTCTTCTAACAGTAGCAGAACCCTTTTTGGTGTTATATAGAACCATTTACAACACATTCTCCATCAATCTGAAGAAACATTTCACCATGCAGAGAACTACTTAATCATGCAAATGGCTCTTTGAGTGTTCTATATAGAACCGTCTTGTTTAAGAGTGTATGTAAAGAATGGTTGCTGCCACAAAATTCGCAATTTTACATGCCATTGTGCATTTCTTCAAACGCTGGGGAAGGCGGCAGCTTCAGTAAGTCGTCTGCAGTGTGTTTTGTACAGTCGTGTCTGTCCATGTCGCTATTAAGCATTTAGTTTCGTCACCAACCATGTGTGGATCACGTGCCCAGTGACGCACTGCATGGGGAGGAGTTTTGGTTGTACTGGGAAGGGGTTTTGTTGTACTTATAGAAGTTTCAGTTGTGCTGGGAGGAGTTTTGATTGTACTGGGAGGAGTTTTGGTTGTAATGGGAAGGGTTTTGCTGTATTGGGAGGAGTTTGGGTTGTATTGGGAGGAGTTTTGGTTATACTGGGAGGAGTTCTGGTTGTACTGGGAGGAGTTTTGGTTGTACTGAGAGGGATTTTGTTGTACTTGTAGAAGTTTCAGTTGTGCTGGGAGAAGTTATGGTTGTAATGGGAAAGGTTTTGGTTGTACTGGGAGGAGAGATGAAACCATCCTAAACGTTTACCCAATTTTCAAGTAGCTACAGATTATAGTCCTGTGGTGAAAATTCGTAGATTATACCAAGTAATATCAGGTAGCTTGTCAAATAATTACAGGTAACTAATGTTTCAGCACATCTTGCCATCAGTCTGTTTCACATAGTGAGGGGCAAGGGCAAACTCTGAATGATGTACAAAACATTACTAGTAAAAACACAACTTTTAAGAAAACAATGATAATATGTTTATGTATATGTTTATATGTTAATGATAGCCATGTAAATAATGTATTATCACACAAAATGCTGTGATGAAGAGTAAGTGACACATTTATGGCTTTAAGGTGCAGTGTGTAAAATTTAATGCCACCTAGTGGTGCGGTTGCAGACTGCAACCAGCTGAATCCCCCTCCCTTACCCCTCCCTTTCCAAGCGTGTAGTAAAACCTACGGTGGCTGTCAGGTTTTCTGCCGTCGTCCGTCCTGATTTCGTTTTGCTTCTTCATGTTTTCTCTCCTTTGAGGATTCACCCTCTCTCACTTTCTCTCATGCTAAATAATAAGTCTGATCCTCCATTTGTCAAAGTTTGAGTTCTCAAACTTCTCACAACACAGAATAGTCAGCAGCACCGGCAACCACTGGTTCTTAATCTTCTTCTTCTTTCTATGTCTTCCAACCAAAAGGCGCCCTCTAGAGGCTGTTTACTGTAGAAACATGGCGCTGCAACATGAAGGCCTCTGTTGAAGAGGAGCTGCTCCTTATGTAGAGATGAAGGGCTCATTCTGAGATAACGAAAACATGACGATTTGTAGTTACAGGTGAATATACACAATGAAAACATGGTCTTGTTTACTATGTTCCATTTCTGCTAATAGATCCCCTCTGAATTTTACACACTGCACCTTTAAAGCTAAGCTTTGCTTTTCCTCAACGTTGATAATTTGTTGTTTTTTCCATCCATGGCAGGGTTCATCCACTCCAAATTCCAAAGTCCACATGTCAAATTGAATTTTTTTAAATGACGTTTTGCATTGTTTTCAGAAATGTCATGTAATTTAATGATGTAAAGTGTCTAACCTTGATAACTGGGTCTGTGGAGGCCAGTTCAGCTGAATATTCTACCCATGCACATTCCCCTCTGTCTAAAAGCTCAGTATGATGGAGTTGTACTGCTCAGTGTTCTTTGACAGAACCAAAATGCTTACTGAGATGCAATATTTGTGATTTTTTTGTAGAAAGTAATATGTAATTGAAACTATAGAGGACAAAAATAAAAATTTAATTAGCATGACCAACTAGCATGGAATGACTCTGCAGCAAGCCTGTACTGAAAAAAATCATGGTTTATAACTTGAGTTCTACAGACATTATGCACAATAATTCATGTGTCGTTCATTTTTGCTGGAAACATAGATTGTGTTAAAAGCACATGCAATCATTTATGCAGTTTTCTGACTTGTGATTGTAATTTAAACTAATATTTGTATGCCATAGTTTGAATACCCCTTGTCAAATTACATGTAGTTGATTTTCTAATTAAAATAAGTTAACACATCCTCTACAGAGAACACACTTAAATATGGCAAATTGTATTTTGCTCATTTTAGTGCACATGTTCTATTTGTTTGCTGAGTTTAACACATCAGGAAAAAGTAAAACATAAAATATAAATGTGTAGCTTTTGCACAGGCCACATTTTATGTCTTTTTTCCCCAAAATATTGAATTCAGCACAAAACTATAAACAGTAATTAATGCATTAAAATGTGCAGAACTTGCAGAAACTTGTTTTCTCTTAGGAAATCAACAAAACCACGGAATTCGACCAGGAGCGTGCAAACTTTTGCATACAAGTGTGTATACCTAATTGCGTCAGAACAAAATGTCTGACTAGTTTTTAGTTTTGTAACGGTCACTGATAACAAGTAAACAAAAGTGTCTTGTCCAGACAGTCAGGCAAATAAAATACAAAGAAATATTTTCGGCAGTAAGAATGAAGAATACAGAGCAGGAAATAGAAAACCTGGAGTGGAGCGGGAGGGGAGTGATTACAGAACGCTTTGAGCCGCTCCACTCTGCTCACTCCGCTCTCCACCAAATCACTGCTCTGTGTCTGTCAGCTGTTTCTGATGTTGCGCTGAATCGCTCTCTCTGCTCCTTCTTAACAGAGCACAACATGAAAAGGGAGCTGGCCTTGAACAGGCAAGGTAAACACTCTACTAAAGTACATCTCATCTTGCCCTACACACCTAAAAAAGACGGTTCCTTCAGGGGTTCTTTAGTAAACAAAATGGTTCTATATAGCACCAAAAAGGGTTCTTCTATTGTTATAGGATTGACAGCATAGATCCCCTTTCCCAGCTACACTGCAAAAAATAGTATCTTGTCTAGTGAAATGATCTTAAATATAGTCAATAAATCTAATATTTCTCCTGTTGAGATTACTGTAAGCTTATTTTAAGCTTATTTTATTTAGCTTATTTCAAACATTTTTACTTGTTTTAAGTATATTTATGAAGTAAAATTATCTCACTATACTGGCAGATTATTTAGTGAAAATTTAGTGTATAGTGAAATATTTTCACTTAATTAAATTACTTAAAACAGGTAAACGTGTCTAGAAATAAGCTAAATAATCTTATAATAAAAGCACAACCATCTCAAAGTAAGAAATATTAGACATACTGACTAGAATTAAGATCATTTCACTTGACAAGATACTACTTTTTGCAGTGTAGAATTTTTTTGTTCTAAAAATGTTCAGAGAATATGACACACATGTTCTATTAATGTTTACAGTGTGAGTTTATTTTTATTTTGTTGTTGTTGTTGTTGTTGTTCCCAGAATGTTCTGGGAATGTTCCCTAAAAACATCATCATGTAACATAATCAGTTGCCCTGACAACATCCTTAAAACATTGTCCGAATGTTGCAGTTAAACGTTCTGTCTCAGTTAACATGTGACCTTATAGGAACATTATTAGAAATGATAAGCATCCTTGAAATGTTCTTTGAAGATTAGATTAAAAAGTTTTCTTTGAACATTATTAGAACCTGTAGGTAACGTTAGCCAAAGTTATGAGAACGTTCCCTGCTAGCTGGCTGGTGCTATACAGAACCATTTACAAAAGATTAAATATAGAATCATATACAACACATTCTCCATCAATCATGCAAAGGGTTTTTTTGAGTATTCATGGTTCTATATAGAACCATTTTGTTTGCTAAAGAACCCTGAAAGAAGCATAGCTTTTACTACACTCTTTAAAAAGATAGTTCTTCAAGGGTTCTTTAATAAAGAGAATGGTTCTATTTAGACATTAACTCATGTTTCTTTCTTTGTATTACTGTTTAACTTTATCTCCTGTCTGTAAAGCACTTTGAGCTGCCACCAGCATGAAAAGTGCTATTTAAATAGAATGTATTATTATTATTATTATTACTATTATAGGCATTTTGTGATTAAATGGTTCTTTGCATGGTAAAATACGTCTTAAAATTGATGGAGAATGTGATTCTATATTAAAACGTTTTGTAAATGGTTCTGTACAGAACTCATGGTTGTAAATAGAACCATTGCCTTTACTAAAGAACCCTTTTAGCATTGACTTCTGAGAAAGCACTTCTACTGTTGGTGACAGTATTTTTTCTTCCTTTTTACCATGCTCCAGAGTACTTCACCTGTACTAATAAGGTGTTAAAAGATAAGAAGTGCTTCCAGCTGTACTCACGACTTTATGGTAAAATAATCCCCAGTGATATTTATTTTTGTTATGACATAAACAAGAATTAGGCTTCATTTGACTGTTTACTCTTCTTTTTAATGAAGGTTCTACCCCAGCCATGCTAACCCAGTCAAAAGGTGGGTTTTTCAAGGTGGTATACAAGCATTTTACAGTTGTTCCCCAGATGTGAAACCTAACCCAGCAAGAAAAGCAGTTTTTAAAAGATCACAAAATGTCAAGAGGTGATTTGTGCTCAGTACAATGTAGGAATGTAGGCTGCATCACACGTTAGAGCTTATAGTATGTTTACGACTCTATACAATAATCGAACTATATCAGTTCAAACACTGCAAAAAATGGTCTCTTGTCAAGTGAAATGATCTTAAATCTAGTCAATATATCTAACATTACCCATTTTGAGATGTTTGTGCTCTTATAAGATTATTTACCTTATTTCCAGAATGTTTGACTTGTTTTAGGTCATTTTATTAAGAAAAATTATCTCACTATACTGGCAGATAATGTTGGTTTCAAGCTCATTTCTTACAACAAGCACAATTATCTGCCAAAATAGTGAGATAATTTTACTTACTTTTACTCAATTTTACTAAAATTACTGAAAACAAGTAAAAAATGTCTAGAAATAAGTTAAATAATCTTAAATTAAGCTTACAACAATCTCAACAGGAGAAATATTATACTTTTTGCATAGATTTAAGCTAATTTACTTACAAGATACCATTTTTTGCAGTGTAGTGTATACCAATATGCACATATCTGGAGTCAAACAGTATTAAACATACTAATGAAATGATCAACAAGTCAAAACTTACCAGTCCAGGTTGTCATATTATGGACACTTTGCACATTTTTGACACCTTTTACTGTAGCACTGCACTGGTTGGCTGTATTATGTATGAAAATTCAAATCACAGATTAGCACTGGCATCAGCAGATATTCAATATTAAACGTTTCGGCCCAGAAGGGAGAAAAAACAGGACATCCTTGGTTAGAGGTCTAGATCTGAAAATATCAGAAAATGTCAGCCTATATTTAATCCACATTAGTGTGTTGATGGGATACAAGCTACACGATGGACTACACTGCAAAACATCATCTCTTAGCAAGTGAAATAATCTTAAATCTAGTCAATATATCAAAAATGTCTCATTATGAGATTGTTGTAAGAATATTATAATATTACACTCTTATTTCTAGACATTTTTCACTTGTTTTAAGTCATTTTATCTAATTAAAGTGTCTTATTGAGCTGGCAGATTATTTTACTTATTTCAAACAATATTTCTGGAAATAAGCAAAATTATTTGCATTATTTCTCATAACAAGTAAAATGATCTGCCAATGGAATGAGACACTTTCATCAGATAAAACGACCCAAAACAAGTAAAAAAAGCAGAAATAAGTTTAATAATCATATAAAATTCTAACAACAACCTCATAATGAGAAATATTAGATAGATTGACTAGATTTAAGATGATTTCACTTGCTAAGAGATCATCTTTGCAGTGTAAAACTAAAGACTGCACAGTATTTGACCAGTTTTACTGTTATGCTAAATGCACCATAGTGAGATGCTATGACTTCAGTTTGTCAGAGATCTGATTTAGTTGAGAAAGTTCACAATCAGAACAAAAGGAAGATGTAAAATACTACTAAAGGATGAGATAATTGTACTGGAGAGTTAAGCTACTGAGCCACCGGTTCTGTTTGAGCCAGAGCTAAACTTAAACTTAGCGTGCTAACCTATGCTAATCCTGCTTTTTGGTTAGCCCAAGTCTGGCACCCATAGTCTAGGGTTCATATCTGTTTTGTATTTGCTTATTATTCCGATTAGTCCATGATCATCTGTCCTGGACCTCTTCATCTTCATAAACAACATGGTGTTAGCAACAGCAGCATGCTAGGAAAGTGTAGCCTAGCAAAGCCACCGGAATGAAGCCTGTAGCTTTTATAGTTACAGTATATCAGGTTGATAGATAAAAGGTGTTCAGCTGTGGAGAGTAAAGCTGAGGAATAGCTTAACTGAGCTGGTTCGATGCTGAACTGCAGTCACAGTAAGCTTGAGCTAAAGCCAAAGTTACCTGCTAGCCTACAAATCCGCCTTAAATTCAGATGGTCAGATTTTCACTGTTTCAGTGTTGCGTTCACTATTTATGTCCATGTTGATCTCTTCCAGGCCTCTTCGTCTGCTTCATTCATGAGATGCTGTTAGCGACAGCCGCATGCTAAAGTAGCAGAGGAGGAAAACGGGCCTGACGAAGAGTCTCCTGCAGAACGGACCCTTCAGGACAAACAAACACCTAAACAAATCTGACATGATTTTCTTTTTAAAATCTCCAACAGATTATGATGAAAAATTCAGCCAGCCAATAAAATGTGAAATGCGCCTTTCCAGAGAAATTTACAGAGTCAGAATTGTTCACCATTATAGTACTTGGAACCAGACGTCCAAAGCATTTAATGTCCCTGAAAGCTACATCCCGTTAAGTTACACAAAATGGTTATGAATGCGTTGCTTGATACCTGAGGCATTGTTTTGTGATAATTTTGCTGTAAAGTTTTGGCCTAAAACTCATTTTTAGTGTAGAGTTTTTTCTCCAGGATTATTTCCTGCTTCCAGTTTTCTTTAGCGGCCGGCAGCCGGCATTTGAATCCACTTTGTATTTTTTTTTACTGGAGTCATCTTTTATTGGTTTTTAATGTAGTTTGTAGTCAATTCTGACTCTAGAAAGGTGCATTTCACACCAAACCACTCTGAATGATTTTGTTTACATTTAAACCATTAAATGATGAATTAATTTTGCAAAATCGATGGAGTTTCCCTTTAAGTAATCTCTAATAGGCTATAAGTTTCTGACACTGTATGACACATTTTGTAAAGTGCATGTACTCTTTTTTATGTGATCTGTTAGCAGCCATGCAGACACACTTCAGTCTTGTGATTCTTAATCCAAAATAAAAGTGCACCATGATTATCCTGTAAAATATATTTGACTTTGAATCATGCTTTTCCAGTTAAAGACATCACAATGAACACAGTAATAATGGTGATACAGTGCGCTTCATGGAAAGCAAAGAATAATAAAATAGACTTTCTCTAAAACCGTCCCGCAAACATTTACACTGGTCCACACGTCTGTCCGCTGGGAGACCCGTCGGCGCGTGTCTCGTTACAGTCTCCTCCGGTTCCAGTCTTTATCCTTTACCGCCACTGTCAGCCAGTACTGTACCCAAAATGATCCCTAAGTGCAGTAGATCTAGGTTTATTTATATTACTAATATAAGCTTTCTTTATTGTTTTAATAGGACGTACACAACACACTCAAAGCACAGAGACGGAGAGAGAGAGAGCGAGAACAAAAGACCATGAGGACACATGAACAAAGACAGCAACACCAGCAAACAAACAACCAACAAACGAATAATACACACATACCAGTGGACATACGCACGTCATACACACAAACATCATGAATATATGAAGCTAATCAATAAAGCATCTGGAGTAACTGTCTTGGTAACTGCGGTAATTTCTGCAGAAGAACCACAATAATAATTGGAACAGTAATATTATCAATTAAAAGGCGGAATGAATTATGAATTATTATTATTATAATTATCATTATTATTATTATTACTATTACTATTTTTTACACGTATATGAAGTGCATTGTCTTTAAAATCAGTCAAAGCGAAGAGTCCATCAGTCTGTGGGCTCCTGTCCAGTGCAACATCGAAGCAAACCCGCCGGATAAAGGGGTCAGTCCAGCAAGGGTCATCGTCCACTCATTGCAGAGCAAAAGGAAAAGCTGTAAGTTTGGTCCGAAGCATTGGTTGGTCGGGGGGCGGGGCAAAGTTCAAGAAAACAACAACTTCTTACGCAGTACGTCAGTTTAATACTTGGACTTGGACTCATTTCTCTCTCTTTAATGAGACCCACGTCGCTGGGTCACCTTTGTCCACTACAGGCAGGTCAAAGCTGTGCACTGGAATGGGGGGGTGGGGCAGTTGAACGTCAGTAAGAGTTTAAAACGTCCATAAAAATCTCATTTCCTCTCCGTAATGGAATCCGAGGTCGGAGGCCAGGGTCCGAGGGACGGCCTTCCACCTCTATAGGCAGGTTTCGAAGCTGTGCAGTGGGCTGGGGGGTGCGGGGGCGGGGACGTGGACGGGGCGAGTCAGGTACACTCGGCTTTCGGCCGCGTTGTTGTTGCAGTTGAGCGTGACCGGAAGGCTCTGCTGTCGGGTGGGGTAGCGCGACCGCGGCGGCCGCTGAGGAGGCAGGGAGGACGGAGGAAGAGGAGCGTGACGAAGGTGGACGCGGACGTGGTTGTGGTTGGACCGCTCCGATTCGTCGTCCACGTCCGTCTCGTCGATCAGCGGGATGCTGTGGCCGGAGTCGGTGATGATGAATTCGGGATGGGCCTGGAAGTCGTGGATGGAGCTGCGGGATTCCGGCTTTTCCATGCCGTCGTACAGCGAGCTACGGAAGGCTTTCACCACCCGGATCTACGGGTCAACCGGGCAAACGGGAGGAAACCACGGGAGAGGAAAAACGAGGGGGGTCAGAGGGACAGAAAAGCGGAGACAAGTTTAGTTCTCCTGGCATCAACCCTAACCTGGCTGAGAAATTTTCCCAGGAATGACCTGGAGTTCAACCTGCTTTCACTCTCACATACTGCAGAACATTAATTAGGGTCCTCAGATAATTAAAAAACAACTTTCTGGAACACTTCAAAAGGTCAAAAGGTCATAGGCCTCCAGAATGGATACACTAATCAGCTCCCATGAGTGTTTTTTTAATGGTCCTAAATGGAGCTTCAGCCCAAAAATGTGCTACATGTGGTCTGTCAAAGCAGCCTTAGCCCCCCCCGGCGTCTCGCAGCACCGCCGCAGCCGCACAAACAAGGCTCGCTGGCCTGAGATTTCTGTCCTGCTGGCTTTGGCTGACTGTGTAAGGCACTTGGCAGTGACACTCGCGGAAAGAAACATACATCAGAGGTGTGACGATAAACAAAAACAACAAAACGACAAAGAACAAAGCGACGTTAAAGGGACGGCCTGATGGAAAAAAAAACAAAAAATAATTACTGTTGCCAGTTGAAACACGACATACAATCAGGGAAGACGACATGCATCAGAACGAGATACGAAATCAGAAGCATGTTCACACTTTTACATGAAACAAATAAACAAATAAACAGATCAACACAAACATTCGGAGCCTCTATTACAGTGTACTCAGTACACAACCGTAACCGGATCCACCACACGTACACATAAACACACACGTACACACACATTCTGTGCTCAGCAGAGAATGAGATATACATGAAACACTGAAACACAACGAACGACAAGAACGAGTACACAAAAAAAACAAAAATAAATACATGCATGTTATTCACATACTGTTGGAGAAACCCTGGACTGAACATTCTTTAAAGAACAGATTACATTGGTTAATGTTGGTATACTTTATTATTGGTTTAACATTCTTTTTTCTGACGGTTTCATTCATGATAGGCGTTTCTGGAGAGGATAAGAAAAATCCGCTTAAGCAACATTCACTCTCGGGATTCGCTCTTCAGTGCAATCGACAAGAAACGTTTACAGTTTGGACAAAAGAAAACTTACCCCTTCCACCCTCCTCAACACCCAAAGAGTGAGTTCATGGGCTCTATTTCCCATGAACCCAAGCGCAAACCTCCTCAAAGGGTGCACAGCCCTCCTTCATGCATGGCATGCAAGCACACATTCAAGAAGAGAAATCTTTAAGAAAAGAAATAAAAATAATAGTAATAATAACTCCATTCCTCAGAGTCCATTTCCGTCTTTTTTTGTTTTGTTTTGTTTGTTTCTGATCTCGTGTGTGAACAATGTGCTGCCTCGGATCTTCTTTCTTGAAAAGAAGAGCTTGTGTGAAAAGAGGAGCATGCACTTCCGGGTCCTCCGGCCGCCTGCATCCGCATGCACGGTGCACTCGCGCATACACACTCGCACACGGCAGTCTGGGTGACTTAAAGGCAACAGGATGAGAGAGAAGGAGCTCGACGTGGACAGACACACCACAGCAGTTCAAGCAGTTGATTTGTTTTTCCAAAGAGCCGCTGCTAAATACACTGAGACGTGTGCGGATTTGTCATTTTCAATCGTTTTCTCGGCACTGACGCTGTAAACGGTCCGAGTATAAGGCCCATAATAAAATGCATGAAGAGCAAAACAAACTAAAAAAAACATAAATAATAATCAGAATAAAAAGGATCCTCAGATTCAGACTGATTCCACACTGATATCATCTCTCAGGAGCTGAATGGAAAAACAGAACAGGAATTGTGTTTGAATAGCTCCGCCCAAACACAGTGTTCCAACCAATCACGGTACACAGGAGGGAGAGAGGGAGGGGCTTCAACTTAATAAGATAATAAGAAAAATCAGGCTTAAATTGAACCGACTCAGGCTCGTAGTTATCGCCAGCGATAACACGTCTAAACCCTGTTATTAAGAAGGTGGAGTCTATACAGCATCTTTAGGTGCAGCTTTAACTTAGACCTGCAGCAACATAACTGATTAAGCTTAAGTATTAGCTACAGTTAGCACTGACGCTACCTGATCTGCATCCTCTGCTTGATCTGCACCACCCATGCGCACCACTGTCATGCATCTTTTTACAACGTAATCATATTAGTGGATTGTCTCAGATGGTTTAACCCCTTAAAATCCCAGACTTATTGCATACTGAGGCTCATTATTCAGTACAGGGACTTCAAAGCAAACTGGCTCAGCTATTCTTAGGTTTTAGAAGTGTGTAATAAACCTTTGGGCCTGCTGTCCATTTAAAGGGTTAATACTGAAAGGACTATATTAGCAGTCTTATTCTATTCCTAGTCCGGAAGTCGGCAACCCAAATGTTAAGAAGAGCCATTTTGTCCTTTCAACAGAAATCAAACCACTTTGGGAGCCACAACATTTAATGTCCATTTTACCATCTTGGCTGTAAATCTGTCTCAGTATGAGTTAATGTACTAGTTCAGGCTAAAAATATAATATAAATGAAAACGCAGACTCACTTTGCTCTGCTTTAAGCTTTAGCTCAGCTATAGCTGCTTTTCTCGCATCTCCGGCAGGAAACTTTTTCGCTCAAAGTTTGATTTTTACGAGACTGAAGTCGCTTCTCATTTGCAGCTTCTTGTTCGAATTTTCTCATTCCACCTTAAACGGTGCCTGAGGCACCACAATGTAACTGCTGTGCTGTTTAAGGTGGAACAGGAAAATTCGAACAAGAAGTTGTTTTCCCCGTTTTGTACTATAATACTTTATACGAACAGTGTTTGCTATCCGGTGTGGTCCAGAGGAGGATGGGTTCCCCTTTTGAGTCTTGGTTCCTCTCAGTGTTTCTTCCTCTTGCTCTTAGGGAGTTTTTCCTTGCCACTGTCGCCATTGGCGACGCTCATGGGGGCTCGGACCTTTTTCTGTAAAGCTGCTTTGTGACAACACCTGTTATAAAAAGCGCTACATAAATAAACTTTGCTTGCTTGCTTTCGGATGAGAATCTGACTTCAGCCTCGCGGCTTTTTAGTGTTTGACAGTTTTTTGCTGCAGATTAAACGTATCAGCTGGAGTCCATTCATGTCCAAATTATTATTATTTTTTTTTGATGATTTTTCCTGTTTTGATGTCTTAAATCTCTCTCTTTGCTGTTTTCGTTAGCTACTAGCTAGGCGAGACTGTTGTCTGTGTTGCTATGGTGACCAGCAGTCTGTGCTGATCTTCAGGGTTAAAGGGGGAATTAGCAGTTCTACCTTAACTCCAGAGTTTAAGACCATTTATTGTTAAACTGTGTTGAACGATCAGCAGAGCTTTATTTTACTGTAAAGGAGGATTATTTTATTTTTACCTACAAATCTTATTCTGCTGTGGAGCCACAACAGGACAGTAAAAGAGCCGCATGTTGCCGACTCCTGTACTAGTCTAATATTACTCAGCATTAATGTTATGTCAATGTTATGTCTATTATCATTCTGGTTTGGCATGAGAGCCTGTCTGAGACTGAATCTCAAACGTCTCCTTACTCCCTATACAGTGGCTGCATAGGTCATAAAATCATGGCTTTGACATCAAACAATGCACTAAATGTCAGATATAATGGTGAGCAGCTTCGACTGAATATGAATGGCTTTTATTTGGACATTTAACGCACTGTGTGTGTGTAAAGAGCTTTATGTAATGATCTGTGTAGTGCACATTACACTCTTAAAAAAGATGGTGCTTCAACGGTTCTTTAGTAAAGAAAATGGTTCTATATAGAGCCATGAACACTCAAAGAACCCTTTGCATGATTAAAGGGTTCTTTGCATCATAAAATTGTTCTTCAGATCGATGGAGAATGTGCTGTAGATGGTATTATAAAGCAGCCAAAAGGGTTCTACTATTGTTACTTTGTCAAGCTTGTAACAATAGAAGAACCCTTTGGGTGCTATATGGATTATAGCACCCAAAAGGGCTGTTTCTTTTGGTCCATTCATCATGAAATGTACACATAGTGTAAAGGGCAACGATATATATATATATATATATATATATATATATATATATATATATATGTATATATATATTATGACTGTGCAACAACTGTACATTGGAATGGTACAAAACTGAGTGTATACTAATGTGTATATTGTGTATATGTGTATATATTTAGAGTATAATGTGTGTATCGTCACTGTCCAATGAAAAACAAGTATCTCCAAAATAGTAACTTTACAGGAGAAGGCAAAAACACTCTTACCTTTCAATGTAAGTCAATGTAAAGAGATTTTGTTCCAAGTGATTTTACAAAAGGTCCTATCTAGAACCATCTACAGCACATTCATGCACATTCTCCATCAATCTGAAGAAACTGTTTATGATGCAAAGAACCTTCAATCATGCAACGGGTTCTTTGAGTGTTCATGGCTCTAAATAGAACCATTTTCTTTACTAAAGAACCCTTGAAGCACCATCCTTTTTAAGAGTGTACATATGCAGTAGGGAGCCATTTGAGATTGAGCCAATACGTCGCCAGCTTTGCTCACACTGTTGTTATTCTAGTGCAAATACAGGCTAAGAATGCTACACAAAGCGAAGCGGCTCAGGTTGGTAATCAGACCTTAAAGCTCTGTTTTCACTGATGAACATGTAGGACAGCCGGGCGTCCCAGCAGAGTCGAGCGAATGAGGCTTTTTATTAGCGCTCAGCTACAGTTTTAATCTGCTGTAAAAAGCTTTTACGCATGCTGTACAGATCATGTTGAGCTGGTAAAAGTAAGATTCTCTGCGCATGCGTGACAGTGGTGGGCATGCATGGTGCAAATCAAGCAGGGCACGCAGATCAGCTTGCGACAAGCACTACTGAAGCAGCGCTCAAGTTAGCGAGCAAGCTACTGTAATGTTAGCTAGCATGTTGAGATTATTTGCTTTGGCTTTTCATTTTTAATGTTAATTTGATGAAAACTCACTTAATTAACACCA